TTACTGTAAAATACATGGTTCAGGCACCCAATTACTTTATAAATGTCTTATTTTTAAAGATAAAAAAAAAAAATCAGGGGGCACCTGGGTGACTCAGTAGTTAAGCATCTGCCTTTGGCTCGGGTCATGATCCGAGGGTCCTGGGATTGAGCCCCACATCGGGCTCCCTGCTCAAAAGGAAGCCTGATTCTCCCTCTCCTGCTCTCCCTGCTTGTGTTCCCTTTCTTGCTGTTTCTCTATCAAATAAATAAAAGATTAAAAAAAAAAATGGGGCACCTGGGTGGCTCAGTGGGTTAAAGCCTCTGCCTTAGGCTCGGGTCATAATCCCAGGGTCTTGGGATAGAGCCCCTCATCGGGCTCTCTGCTCCATGGGGCGCCTGCTTCCTCCTCTCTCTGCCTACCTGTGATCTCTGTCAAATAAATAAATAAAATCTTAAAAAAAAAAAAATCAGTATCCAGGGCACCAGGGTGGGTCAGTCATTAAGTGTCTACTTTTGGCTCAGGTCATGAACCCAGGGTCCTGGGATCAAGTCCCACACTGGGCTCCCTGCGTGACAGGAAGCCTGTTTCTCCCTCTCCCATTTCCCTGCTTGTGTTCCCTCTCTCGCTGTCTCTCTCTGGCAAATAAATAAATAAAATCTTAAAAAAAAAAAATCAGTATCCAAATAAGTCCACACACTGCAACTGGCTGATATGTTTTGTATTTTAATCTACGGATTCCCCCATCTTTTTCTTCCCTTGCAATATGTTAGAGAAATAATACCATATAGTGTATGGATACATATATATATCATTAAATTATAAAAACATGCATGGGAATAAGCAGCACAAAATTCAGGACAATGATTACCTCTGGGGGTAGAGAGGGAAGAGAAATGGCAAGGGGGTATGAATATCTTCAATTCTATCTGTAATGTTTTATTTCTTTAAAAAATTAACAAAAAAACCTATAAAAAATATGGCAAGGGGTGCCTCTGAGCCCCACATCGGGAGCGTAGAAATTACTTTAAAATATATATAGGGGGGCACCTGGGTGGCCGAGTGGGTTAAGCCTCTGCCTTCGGCTCAAGTCATGATCTCAGGGTCCTGGGGTCAGGCTCTCTGCTCAGCAGGGAGCCTGCTTCTCCCTCTCTCTCTGCCTGCCTCTCTGCCTACTTGTGATCTGTCAAACAAATAAATAAAATCTTAAAAAAAAAAATCAAATATATATATGCCAAAGGCCTGGGTGGCTCAGTTGGTTAAGCAACCAACTCTTGATAGCAGCTCAGGTATTGGATCTCAGGGTTGTTGAGTTCATGCCCTGTGCAGGGGCTTAAAAAAATTAAAAAAAAAAAAAAAAAAAAAAAAAAGGAGCCGGGGACACCATTTTAGAAAGATTCCATTTCTGCTGTTCTTGTGCTAAGTCCTGTTTCAAGGTCTACATTTTGCATCTGAATAAAACAAGGAAGCGACATTGCCACTCCAAAGGGAGACAAGAAAGTTAATCATTCTCTAAATTCCATCCTAGGCCCCAAACAGATTCACATACATCAGCTTCAAACAAACCTTGCCTGACACTGGCATCAATACCCCCTACCTTCAGTGATTTATGGAATAACACTTACTATTCACCTGAAACTCACCTTTGATTGGAGGCTTCCTTGGGTTCCTGAAGGAACATGAACCCTGGACCCTTTCCAATATAAAACCATAACCCCAAGTGACAGAGTAACTTACTTTTCATTTTTGGAGTCTCCCAGACACTCTGCTATCCTCTATCACTTACTATTCAATGAACTCTGTTCTCACTTCCTCCTGGCTCCCATATGATTCTTATCCTGAACAAAGCCAAGGACCCCAGTCAACTGGTATTAGAGGGCCCGTCCCCCCAGTGCTCTAATTCAGCCTGCCTACATTGATAAAATAAAGCTGAATGATGTGTATAATAGTAGCATTATGTTATTTCCTATAAACCTTATATGCTTAAAATATTTAATAAAAAATTTTTTATAATAATAAGTCAGTAGAGAAATATAATGATTATATTCTGTAGTTTCAAATGTCCTCTCCTACACAACAGGGACCATCACAGTAGCTATCTCATAGTGTTGTTGCCATAATTAAACGAGACCATGAACACAAAGCACTGTGAGTACTACAAGCACAATGGAAAAGCTCAGGAAGGAGTGGCTATAGTTTCTATTTCTTCCCACTATCATCAACTCCTTGACCCCTGAGGAGTCTCAAGGAAGCACAGGAATGGTAAGAAAGAATGCTAATCTAACTGAGAATTTTCCCTAGGTCCTTGCTTGTTAAGAAATTATCTGGTATACTCTAATCTCTTCTAGTTCAACCATATTGCCATTGAATTAATTAAAGACCAGGCTGCGTGGACATCTGAAGTACCAGACAAATCCTTCGAATTAATGGGTACTGACGTGTCCTGTATAGAGGGACTGAACTAAAATTCAGAGACCTCGGGGCACCTGGGTGGCTCAGTGGGTTGAAGCCTCTACCTTCAGCTCGGGTCCTGGGATCAAGACCCACATCGGGCTCCAGCGGACTCTCTGCTTAGCGGGGAGCCTGCTTCCTCCTCTCTCTCTGCCTGCCTCTCTGCCTACTTATGATCTCTGTCAAATAAATAAATAAAATCTTTAAAAAAATAAATAAAATAAAATTCAGAGACCGCACAAGTCACTTGAAATCTCTGAACCACAATTCAGATGAGAACAGTCATCTGAAAAATGGAGGATACAATTATACGCTGTTAACTTCAAACACAGATCATCATGAGGATCAAATGAAGTGATGTTTATGAAAGCACTCTACGCCTAAAGGCCCTATGCTAATTAAAGTTGATATACAATGAATTTGCAAGAGGGGGGAAATGTCAGATAACATTAAGATCTAAAGTGAATTTCCACAAGACAGCCTTAGCACTTCTGTCTGCCATTCTACCATTAACTGCCTTTCTTGGCACTTGCTTTGTAACTTCCACCTAAAATAAGGATCTCTTTATTTTTAAGGGAAGAATATTCTCCCCATCTCCCAAGTCTATCTCTTAATTCCTCTGCTCCCCATCCCTCCTGTGACCCTATTCTGTCCTTCCACATCTCTCTCACCTGTCCACCCCCTTCTTCACACTTCAGTTTACCACCCCCATGCTCTGTTCTCTAACCACCTAGCTGCAACCTCAGAAACTGGTTCCCTTGCTATTTTTATCCTACCTAAGAAAACCTATTGCCTTAGAGCACAAAGCCTTAAAATTGCAACACCAGACACAACTCCATATCCCTCCTTCAAGGTTCTTAACCCAAGACCATTACCAAGCTAGATCTGATAAGTATGGTCAAGGGCAAAGATTATTTCCAAAGGACAGGCCTTTGATTTCCAACTTTCCCCACAGGCAATACCCGAACAGCACAAAAGGCACTCCCTAGGCTTTATCACTCCATAAAATGAGCATAACATCCAAAATAAAGTGAACTGAAATTATCTGTAAGAATTCTGCAACTTCCTCTGAAGTAAATGAAAATACTATAGGACAGAAAAACAACCTAGGGCTTGAAATCTCTGCTTTAGGTTAACATTTCACTAGATATGGAGTCCAAGATTCTCATCCCACAGGGGCACTGAAACTAAATATTACTAAGCTACAGCAACAGGTTTCTTTTTAAAAAGAAAATGTTTTTTTTAGATAATTTATACATGATAGCTAAAGCTTGCGACCTCTAACAAATTCACAAGAAACTGGAGATCAGCCGATAGGCAATTCAATCATTTCTTTCCCCTCTCCGGGGCCCACCCTGGAGTGTCAGCTGCCTTCCCTCCCGCCATGGACGAAACCGGTGGCAGCTCCCGTCCCGGGAGCCAAGAGGAAGGGTAACCCAAGTCCACCCTTCGTAGGATACTGCTTGGGCTGCCCCCTGCTCTCTACCCCAGAAACGCGACAGCCTCAGCACGGCATTGGCATCGGGGCTGGGCCTTCGCAATTCCCTCCTCCCTCCTCCGAAAACACCGAGAATTCCCGCCTCCCCGCGGAAGGCGGGAGAAGCTCCGGGTAGCTCCCCGCCCCTCCCCCCGCAGGCGCCAAACCGACTCCTCCGCAGGGCTGCGCGGTACCCCGCTCACCGGAGGGTAGCCACCCACACCCACGCCCACACCTCGGTGGGACCGAGGCCCTGTCAGCCCAAGGGGTGGGCCATCCTCTCCCTCCCCCACCCGCTAGGCGCGGCGGGAAGATCTTCTCCCTAGCAACACCGCCCCCCAGTGGGGCAGGGGCAGCGGCACTCCCAAACCACCTAACACACCCATCCCCCCCCACCCCCACCGGGCAGGGAGACTGACAACGCTGCCCCCCTCACAGGTGACCCGACGGTCTCCCTCTTCCACAGCAGAGTGAGAGACATCTACCTCCGCCGACATGGAGGTGGGGCGCAGGGACACTCCCCCTCCCGCCGCCATCACCTCAGGAACGACAACCAGCCCTCTCCCAGCAGGGTGAAGCCTTCCCAGCCCTTCAACGGGGTGGACCGGCATGTAGAGCCCCCTGGAGAAGCAACAGGCGCCCCCATCCCCCTCCCAGCCGGGAACGCAGACCCCCTCATCCCTCCCGCTCTTCACCTCCGGAAGCGGGGCCGAAGCCTGAGCGAACGACTGCACCTCACTCCGCCCCCTGCGCCATTTTATCGCCCCCTCCCCGACCTCCCCCACCCGAGGCTGCCGGGCCAGCGCAAGGGGGAGGGCAAATGGGCAGTGATTGGCAGGAAACCGCCCCGCCCCTCAGGGGGTTGTGCCCTGCGCAGGCGCCGCAACTCCGCCCTCCGTACCTCCTTGCCCGCCTGCTGGCTCCGCCCCTTTCTCGTCTCATCGACCCGCTCGACTCTCAGTTGGTCCTGGCTCCTTCCTGTCCGCTCTTAGGCTAAGGGTTCAGGCCGAGGAAGCCGAGCGACGAGCTCAGCTGATGCAACCTAACTGGGCCCGCGTGACAGTTCCCGGCACGCGGCGGCGGCGGCGACCGAGGAAGCGGCGCGGTGCCGGGCTGAGCGCGGGAGATAGGGGCGACGGAGCCATGGGGGACGCTCCGACCCCTGAAGAGAAGCTGCACCTTATCACCCGGAACCTGCAGGTCGGGCCTCAGGGTTGGAAATGCGCTCTTGGGGACTGCGGGCTCGAGGTCCAGTGACCCTGAGCTTCACTACTGGATCCTAAGTGTGTGAGGTCGGGGACTCCGCGCCGAGGCAGCTCCGAGAGACTACAGCCCTCGCTGCTGGTTGGTCGATCGGCCAGTCACTCAGACAAGCAGCAGTTATCTGGGTCGCACAGAAATGACAGTGGGCTCACCTCCTGTGTGCAGTTACCTTGAGTTGAGTCCAGCTTTGAATCCAGGACTGCCACCCCACCCACCCTATTATGTGCCAGGCGCGGTGTTAGGCACTGGGGATATGTCAGAGCCTTGCCCTCCCGGGGTTTGTCTGGAGAATCAGACGTTCAGGATGACCCATAATTCAAAAACTTAGTTACAGTTTGAAACAAGTGCTGTAAAGTATATCTTTGGAGCTTTGGAAGGGAATTAGGGAAGAGGGCCGGGGGAGTGTCAGGGAATGCTGAGGATGTGAACTCTAAATTGCGCCTTGATGATGCAAATCACTTGGCTCCACACCTGTGCGAGCTGTTTCCAGGAACTGCAGGAGTAGAAGTTAACCAGAAGAATAATGGGTTGGGGGGCATTTTAGGTAGAAGGAAGCCATGGCAATACGCAGAGGGGAGAAAGAACACTGGTTCAGAGGGAAGGCAGATTTGGCTGGAGTATTGTGAGCAAAGTGGAGATCACTTAATAAATATATATTGCCCATTTCCTTGCCTCCTTCAGGCCTCTGACTATTTTCACATTATGGGGAAAGCCCTTCCTGACCACTTTATTTAAATAACAAACCCCCTGCTACCAGAATTGTCTCATCCCTTGTTCTAGCCTTTTTCATTGTTGTTTCTCCATAGAACTTATCACTATCTAACATACTATGTATTTTACTTGTTTGTTGAGAAGGATTAGGCAAGGACCAGGTCATGAGGGCCTTGCAGGCTATGTTTAAAAGTGAAGTTTATTCTAAGAGCAGTGATACATTGGTTGGGCCACAGCTTGGGTTTTTTTGTTTTTGTTTTTGTTTTGTTTTGTTTTGTTTTGTTTTGAGATACAAGTCACATGCCAAAAAAATCATCCTTTTAAAGTGTACATTTTGGTGGGTTTTAGTATAGCCCCGAGATTGTATACTTAGCATCACTTTCTGATTCCACATTTTCATCACCAAAATAAAACCTGTACCCATTGGCAGTCACTGCCCATTTCCCCACTCCTGGCAGCCCTGGGGAAACACTAATCTACTTGCTGTCTTTAATTTGCGTATTCTGGGCATTTCATGTAAGCGGAAGCATGTAATATGTGGCTTTTTATGTCTCATTTCTTTCATTTAGCATGTTTTTAGGGTTTATCCATGTCGTCACACCCATCAGAACTTTATTCCTTATTATGGCTGAAAAATATTCATGATTATATGGATAGATCACATTTTGTTTCTCTTTTCATCAGTTGGTGGACATTTGGGTTCTTTCCACTCATAACTTGATCTTAACCAGTAATTTTTGCATGCTTCCTCTTAGATTCTTTGTCCTTCCCTTTCCACAAAATAATGCTGTTTGGGGACAAAGGATACACAAAGCTAATGGCACTGACTCACTTCCGTTTTAAAGGATAAATGATAGGACCTTTCCTTGGGTGGCAAGAACTCTCCCAAGTTGCAAATAGTCAGGGGCTAGGAGGGTACGGGATCCAGCTGCCAGCTCCCTTGAAACAGGATTTTAATAAGTCCTGCTAATAGGTGATTCAAACCAGCAAAACAGTTTTTGTCTTTCATGGCTTCTGACTGCCTTCCCAAACCATTACTTGAAAGAATCACTAAAATCTCTTTTGTTACCAGCATACTGATCTATTAGGATTTTTCTAATATTGTCTTAAGGCAAAATAAACCATTAAAGTATTAAATAGGTGAATGAGTCAATCAAGTTTTGTGTTTTAGAGATCTCTCTGGCTGCCTTCTGGAACACGGACTGGAGGGAGCAAGAATAGATACGGGAGTCCTGCTAGAAGGCTATTATAGTAGTCTTGGTGTGATTGATGGTGGCCTAAGCTAATGTGGTGGTATGGAGGCAGAGAGAAGGAGGAGGATTTAGGAGCTTTGGGGTAACTTGGGCAACTTGGTGAATGATAGTACCATTCACTGCACTGGAGTGAAACTGAGTGAAAAAGATGGGTGGGGAGCAAGGTAGGAAGGTGAGAGCATAAGGTTAATTTTGGACATGTTAAGTTTGAGTTTATTGGGTTGATAACAAGTACACTGTTCCATATATGGGTTTGAGCAGTAGATTTGGTAGTTAATTAGCTTATAAGTAAGTGAAACATCTTAAATGGGATTAGCTAGGGAGCATGTAGAGTAAGAAGAGAAGAGATAGGGCTGCAAAGATTGCTAATATTTAATGAATAATAATATATATTATTATTCTGTAGAGAAATCTGAGCCAGCAGCCAGAGAAGTAGGAGGAAAACTAAGAAAATAGAAAAGTGAAGGACCAAAAGAGGGGAGGGTTTCAGGAATGGAGTGAGGACTAAAAAATTTTCGTTGAATTTAGTAACAATGGGGGTCATCCATGATCTTAGCTAGAGCATTTTCAGTGGTGTGATGCTTCATGGAATTCAGCTGGAATGGGAGATGAGAAATAAAGACCAGAAGAGAGAAATGTTTCAAGAAGTTGGCTCTAACGTGAGTTAGAGTAGATAGATGGAGGAGAAGGTGCGAGTAGGGACATGTCCCATTCCTTAACAGCAGTGGCATTTCACTGGAGTGGTGCTAGCAATGGCACCAGCTTAGGTTGGCTCTCATTCAGCACTGCGAGTACGGCTGGACCTCCCTGCTGGCTCTGGGCCTAGACCCTCAGTGACACGTGCTTTTGTTTTCCTTGTCACAGGGTAAAGGATGAGCAAGGTGGGGCACCAGCATTAAACCAGCTCTTCTGCTTCCACAACAGGAGGTTCTGGGGGAAGAGAAGCTGAAGGAGATACTCAAGGAGCGGGAACTTAAAGTTTACTGGGGAACAGCAACCACAGGCAAGCCACATGTGGCTTACTTCGTGCCTATGTCTAAGATTGCGGACTTCCTAAAAGCAGGATGCGAGGTAAGAAGTAATATTTTGTAAACCAAGCAGTTCCTTGGGGGAATGGCCCAAAAAGAGGTTTAATAAGGGCAGGGCAGAGAGGGGGATTTGGAGGTACTTGGACAAAATACACATTTTGGTGGCCCCTTATCTCTTATGTCCAGGTAACGATTCTGTTTGCGGACCTTCACGCATACCTAGATAACATGAAAGCTCCATGGGAACTTCTAGAACTCCGAACCAGCTACTATGAGAATGTGATCAAGGCAATGCTGGAGAGCATTGGTGTACCCTTGGAAAAGCTCAAGTTCGTCAAAGGCACTGATTACCAGCTCAGCAAGTAAGTTCTAGATCATCCAACCTCCTTGTGGCTCTCATGCTTCTAGCTAATTACAGGTCTGTGGAGTGTAGGTACTCTTCAAGTTTGGATTAGAAGCCATTAAAAAATTTATACTCTTTGTCCTTTCAAGTCATCCATCAAAAATGTACTTAATACCTCTGTGCTGTCCACTTTGCTGGAGGTGTGACTGTAACCAAAACAGAGTCCTTGGCCTTGCAGAGCTCCCAGTGTACGGGAGAATGATGATCAGCAATTCAGGCTCCCTTTTTCCTTCCAGCCTCAGCAAATCATGATTAGAGAAAGGTGAAAGAAAAGTATTTCACTTGTTTCTCATCTCCCCGACAATTTTTTTTAAAGATTTTCTTTCTTGAGGGCCTGGGTGGCTCAGTGGATTAAGCCTCTGCCTTCGGCTCAGGTCATGATCTCAGGATCCTGGGATCGAGCTCTGCATCAGGCTCTCTGCTCAGCAGGAAACCTGCTTCTCCCCACCTCTCTCTCTGCCTGCCTTTCTGTGTACTTGTGATCACTGTTTGTCAAATTAATAAACAAAATCTTTAAAAAAAAGTTTTCTTTTTTTTTTTTAAGGATTTTTATTTATTATTTGACACAGAGACAGAGAGAGAGAGATATCACAAGTAGGCAGAGGGGGGGGGGAAGCAGGCTCCCTGCTGAGGAGAGAGCCCAATGCAGGGCTCGATCCCAGGACCCCAAGATCATTACCTGAGCCAAAGGCAGAGGCTTAACCCACTGAGCCACCCAGGTACCCCATATTTTATTTTTTTGACAGGGAGCAGCAGGTAGGGGAAGAGGGAGAAGCAGGTCCCCCACTGAGCAAGGAGCCCAGTGTGGGGCTTGTCCCAGGACCCTGGGATCATGACCTGAGCTAAAGGCAGACACCCAACTGACTGAGCCACCTAGGCATCCCCTCCCCAACAATTTTTATTGCTTCATATCTTTATCAATTTTAAACATATTTGTAATATTAGCATAGATATGATTTTGTGTTCTAATTTTTTTTTTAAGATTTTATTTATTTATTTGACCGAGAGAGAGACATCGAAAGAGGGAACACAAGCAGGGGAATTGGGAGAGGGAGAAGCAGGCTTCCTGCTAAGCAGGGAGCCCAATGTGGGTCTCATTCCCAGGACCCAAGGACCACAACCTGAGCCGAAGGCAGACGCCCAATGACTGAGCCACCCAGGTGCCTCTAATTTTTTTTTAACTTCCGTTATTTCCTAAGTAATTCCTCCATGCTGCCTCATGATTTTTAAAACCTCAGTTAAGCCGTGTATCACTCTACTGGTCACTTTTGTATTTAAACCCTTAGAACAACTTTTTAAGGTAAGCTTTGGTGTGTCCTGTTTCACAGATAAGGAAACAGATTCCTTTCTCAAGTTCACACTTGCTGTAAGTACAAGAGCCAGGATGTGAACCCAGATCTCTTGCTTACAAGTTCATTTCTCTTTTTACTTCATTGATCATAATTTTCTCTTTTTTTAAAGATTTTATTTATTTATTTATTTATTTGAGAGAGAGAACACACACATGTGAGTTGGGGGAGGGGCAAAGGGAGAGAGAGGGACTAGCAGACTCCATGTTGAGAGTAGAGCCCAACTCAGAATCCATCCCACGACCCCAAGATCATGACCTGAGCCAATACCTAGAGTTGGACACTTAACTGATGGGGCCACCCAAGCGCCCCAGTTGTAATTTTCTTTAGCATTCCTCACTGTTGAACATTTAAGAGTTTTTTTTTGTTTTTTTGTTTTTTTTTAAGATTTTATTTATTTATTTGACAGACAGAGATCACAAGTAGGCAGAGAGGCAGGCAGAAGGGGGAAGCAGGCTCCCTGCCAAGCAGAGAGCCCGATGTGGGGCTCGATCCCAGGACCCTGGGATCATGACATGAGCCAAAAGCAGAGGCTTTAACCCACTGAGCCACCCAGGCGCCCCACATTTAAGAGTTTTAAATAAAGCACATAACTTTCTTATGTAAACAAACATTTGAATCATCAGCCTCAGTAGAGTGCCTACCATTTCATTTATTTTTACATTCTACAGATATTTACAGAGCACTTATTAGATGATAACCACTATTGTGGGTCCTGAGTATACAAAAATCCCCATCCTCATGGGCCTTACATTTCAGCAAGGAAATACAGTCAAAGGAAACAAATGAAAAAGTAATGTGTATGAACTGTGTCAGATGGTGATAGGTGCTACAAAGCAGGCAGGCAGGAGAGAGAGTTCTTGGGGAGCGGGGGTTTCTATTTAAATAGGGTGGCTAGAAAAGACTTCTGATAAGAAGACTTAGATTGAGACCTGAAGAAGATGAGGGAGTGAGTCATGCGAACACTTACTGAATTCTTTTTTTTTTTTTTTAAGATTTTATTTATTTATTTGACAGACAGAGATCACAAGTAGGCAGAGAGGTAGACGGGGTGGGGGGAGAGGGGGTGGGAAGCAGGCTCCCTGCTGAGCAGAGAGCCTGATGTGGGGCTTGATCCCAGGACCCCCGGATCATGACCTGAGCTGAAGGCAGAGGCTTTAACCCACTGAGCCACCCAGGCGCCTGTCAGTCCATATATATTCTTACCATATGTCAGACTCTGTTCTAGGTACCAGGATTATAACAGTGAATGACTCAGTGAAAGTTTATGTTCTCCCAAAACTGAACAGAATTTGCAGTTTGGGAAGATAAGATACATAAATAAAGCTGCCTTGCTTCAAAGTCACTTGATCTTTTTGTATGTACAAAAGTGATTTCAAAGGAAGATGGCTTTATAAGTGTATGTTTTGATGCACTCCCTCTGTTCCAGACAACACAGTGGTAGATAAAAACATAAAAAAAACAAAAACAAAAAAAAACAACAAACCAGACGACATAGCTAGATTCAAAGACAAGGTAAACATTTCTGTGGTAAGAAAAGAGAATTGAAATGCAAATGGGTGAGTTGGGCTGAAGTTACAGGTTTGCTGGGCTCCAGTCAGAAAGCAGACAGTGGGGACAAACCAGGCTTACTGCTTAAACCCAGAGTATAAAGTAGGGCTTTTACCCCTTTCCCATCCCATCGCTACCCCTCAAGGAAAGTAGAGCCGGGGAGTAGGGGCATTATTAGTCACCTGCCTGGGTCTTTAGGGGCTTTTGTCAAGCTTCAGGCCTATGGAGACTCAACTGTATGCATACCAAGAATTAAACCAAGCTGCCCACCATTTATGAGTGTTACAGTCATATATTCTCTAAAAGACATAAGCTCTAACATGCCAAGGAATGGCGTCCATTTTTAAAAAGGAACTGATAAAAACAGAGAGGCAGAAATGAAACATAAATCTATAGAAATAAGAATCATTTAGAAACCTTGGAAACATAAAAATCAGTCATGAAACCCAAACCAAACCAAATCAAACAACCCCACAGGGGCACCTGGCTAGCTTGGTTGGAAGAGATCACGACTCTTGATTTCAGGGTTGTGAGTTTGAGCCGCATGTTGGGTGTAGAGAATATAAATAAATAAACAAACTTTAAAACAAAGAAGAAAGAACTCCACAAACGAGGCTTCGGTGGAAGGCATCAACTCTAGACTGAACGAAATTGAAGGGAAAACTAGAGATTTGAGAGACAGTACTGAGATTCACGGAGAATGCAGCCCAGAGAGATGGACAAAAGAACTGGAAGAGTGTTTGAGACATGGAGGAAGACATTTGCTTCCAGCAGTCTAGCACACTGGGTACTCTGACCAGCCTTACTACCGCAAACAACTAACAGTGCTGGGTAAAAGATTTTTTAAATGTTCCAAATACTTCAGATCAGTCAGTTGACAAATTAGTCAAAAATACTCAGTGGCCAGAAACCAAACAAAAGTGTGAATACAAAGATACTTTATTTCAGGGGGGTCTGGCTGGCTCTCTCAATAGAGCATGCAACTTTGGATCTCAGGGTTGTACGTTCAAGCCCCATGTTGGGTGTAGAGGGTTACTTAAAAGTAAAATCTTTAAAAAAAAAAAAGAAAAAAATCTGGGGCGCCTGGGTGGCTCAGTGGGTTAGGCCTCTGCCTTCAGCTCAGGTCATGATCTCAGGGTCCTGGGATCGAGCCCCACATTGGGCTCTCTGCTCAGCAGGGGGCCTGCTTCCTCCTCTCTCTCTCTGCCTGCCTCTCTGCCTACTTATGATCTCTGTCTGTCAAATGGGTAAGGTCTTTAAAAAAAAAAAAAGAAAAGAAAAGAAAAAAATCTTAAAAAAAAACAAAACAAGGTACTGTGTTTCAGCTAATCTAAGATGTCATTAAAAATACTGCTGATTAATATGTTAATAAAAATAATTTTTAAGAAAATACTGCTGGGGTGCCTGGGTGGCTCAGTGGGTTAAAGCCTCTGCCTTCGGCTGGGGTCATGGTCCCAGGGTCCTGGGATCAAGCCCTGTATCCCTGCATCTGGCACTCTGCTCAGCAGTGAGCCCACTTCCTCCTTTTTCTCTGCCTGTCTCTCTGCCTGCTTGTGATCTCTATCTGTCAAATAAATAAATAAAATCTTAAAAAAAAAATACTGCTTATTAGTATCTAACATGCAGTGTTTAAAAGACTTATCTAGATTTTGGAGATGTTAATTTTTTTTTAAATGCAAAAAAATGCATTTTGTAATCTACAAAATATAATTTGTGGACTACTAGCACCTCAAGAGACCTTGTTGAATTATTGGGATTGAACTTTGGTTTCTGTGGCCTTACAGAGCACAATGAAAAAAAAAGAAAAAGCTAAGAAAATTAGAGTACTAGTTCAGGAGGTCCAATATTTGAATACTAAGTATTCTGGAAAAGGGAACAAAGAGTCAGAGGGAAGGAAATCATCAATGAAATAATTTATAGAACAAGTAAATGAGTGTGCAGAGTGGAAGGGCCCATCAGGTGCCTGTCATGCTGAATGAAAATAAACCCATGCTATAGTGTACTGTCTTAAAATTTCAGAATTCTGAGGACAGAAAAGAAGGGGGGGGGAATATATACTACAGACTTCCAAAGGGGCAAAAGAAGTCACATACAGAATTTCAGGAATCAAAATAGCTTTGCTTTTCTCAAAAGGAACACTGAAAACCAGAGGGTGATGAAGCAAAGCCTTTAAACTTCTAGGGGAGGGGCACCTGGCTGGCGTGGTCTGCTGATCTCTGGATGGCAGGTTCGAGCCCCGTGTTGAGTGTAGAGATTACTTTCATTTTGTTTTTTTAAGATTTTATTTATTTATTTGACAGAGAGACAGTGTAATAAACTACATGAGGAATAGTGTACCCATCACTCAGTTTAAGAAAAAGGATTTAATTACTTCTGAAGCTCGTGTGCTCTACCCCCTGCCACAATCCTATACTACTTCCTCTTCTTCCAGAGTAACTACTATCCTGAACTTTTGGGTTTCTTTCCAGTTTTATATCCTTGTATCTATAAACAGTGTGTTATAAATATTCTAGTGTGTGTCTCCTGGTATACAAATGCAAGTTCCTTTATACATGCCTAGAGTAGAATTACTGGATCATAGGGAAACTGCATCTTGAGCTTTGGTTGGATAATGTTGAACTCTTTTCCAAATGGACTTTTATCCATTTTATTACCAAATATTGTCATTATTTTAATTTTTGCTAATTTGGTATGCACGAGTGGCTTCTTAATGAAGTTTTAATCTAAATTTCTTTGAATAACCAAGGAGGTTAATTTCCATGTTTTTATTGGTCATTTGATTTCTTCTGTGAAATGCCCATTTGTCTTTTTCTACTGGACTGACTCATTTTTCTGACAGCTGACTTTGTAGTTTTTGACAAAGAATCTAGGATATTAATTCTTGCCAGTTACATATGTTTTAAATATGTTCTCCCAGCTGGTGGCTTGTCTTTTGACTTTATTTTACTTTTGATGTACTGAAGGTCTTAATTTGAATTTGAATTCATCAGTCTTTTCCTGTGATTTGTGCTTTTGGTGTGTTTTGTTGAATTTGCCTTGCCCTGAGATTATAAGATAGTTTTATATATGTATGATCTTTTAAATCTTTTACAGGTTAGCCTTTACAGTTAAATCTTTAATCCACTTGAAATGGAGGGATCATTTCCTTCCCACATACATAACTAATTGTCTTTGCACCATTTTTTGGAAAAGATTTTACTTACTTTTCTGTCAGAGAGACAGTGAGAGATGGAACACAGGCAGGGTGGGAGAGGGAGAAGCAGGTTTCCCTCTGAGCAGGGAGCCAGATGTGGGGCTCGATCCCAGGGCCCTGGGATCACGACCTGAGCCGAAGGCTGAGGCCTTAACCCACTGAGCCACCCAGGCGCCCCGAATTCTGCTTATTTAATAGGCATTCTAGAAGAAGATAATGGAGGGGAATGGCAAACAAGCAGTATTTCAAATGGTAAGGGAAGAAGATTAACTGAAGCTATCTATAAAAAGGAAAGACATAGGGGCACCTGGATGGCTCAGGTGGTTGAGCATCTGCCTTGGGCTCAGGTTATGATCCTGGGGTCCTAGGATGGAGCCCCAAATTCAGCTCTCTGCTCAACAGGGAACCTGCTTCTCCCTTTCCCCCTCTCATCCACACTTGTGTTCTCTCTCAAATCAATAAATAAACTCTTAAAAAAAAAATAGGGGCATCTGGGTAGCTCAGCTGTTAAGGGTCTGCCTTCGGCTGAGATCATGATCCCAGGGTTCCAGGTCCAGGGATCGAGCCCCACATCAGGCTCCGTGCTCAGCGGGAAGCCTCCTTCTCCCTGTCCCACTCCCCCTGCTTGTGTTACCTCTCTCGCTGTGCACGCGCACGCGCGTGTGCGTGTGTGTGTGTGTCTTTCTCTCTCTGTCAAATAAATAAATAAATAAAATCTTAAAAAAATAAAAGTAAAGTAGTATTTTGTATAAGAGTAAGGAGCAGTCCAATTCTAGAAGCTTCCAGGCAGCAGAGTTCTCTTGGAATGTCTTAAGATTGGGAGAGTGAAATAATGTGCTTCAGGATCAAAGTGAAGCCTTGGCCCAGTCTCACAGGTGTCCCCGCTTCCTTTCCTCTTCAGAGAGTACACACTAGATGTGTACAGGCTCTCGTCCGTGGTCACACAGCACGATGCCAAGAAAGCTGGGGCTGAGGTGGTAAAGCAGGTGGAGCACCCTTTGCTGAGTGGTCTGCTGTACCCCGGATTACAGGTACTTGGGAGGGATGAAGTTGCCCAGGGACCTTTTCCGCCCCCTTTCTGACTACTGGTCACCGAGCCCTGGTGAAACCCAGGTCCTTCGTTCCCTTGCTGTGCTGCAGGCCTTCCTTCCTGTCTCCCTTCCCTCCCCTTTCTTACAAGCCTTGGACTTCTTCAGCTGTAGGTCCTTCCCTAGCTGTCTGCCCTTGAAAACACTGCTCTTCTCACACATCTTTTTTTAATTTATAAATCAGTTTATTTGCAGGTTTTACATTTTCTTTTTCTTTTTTTTTTTTCCTTTTTTTAAGTGAGCTCTGTGCCCAGTGTGGGGTTTGAACTCACAACCCTGAGATTAAGAGCTGCACCCTCCACTGACTGAGCTAGCCAGGTGCCCCCAGATTTTATATATTTTCTTGTAAAGTGCATTTCAGTTAACAAATCTGTTTACACAAGGAGACATGGGAGTTCCCACCAGTTATTTACAGATCATACTGACAGACCACACCCTAAGTCTTCTGTGCAAAGGCACTGCATGTGACTCTTGGCTGAAAATGACCAGATGATTTTTTACATATACGTAGTAAATGGGGTTTGTTTTTCATGTCTGCAGAATATACTATACATGCGGAAGCCAGTCCTCCCAGAGAATGCTTTGCAGTGTCACATACCCGTTTTATGTTGATCATGATCTCTTAAGTGAAGAAAATTTCAGAGTAATGTGCAAAAATGAATTTTAGGCGGGGCATCTGGGTGGCTCAGATGGTTAAGCAGCTCTTTTTTTTTTTTTAAGATTTCATTTATTTGAGAGAGAGAGAATGAGAGAGAGAGAGAGCATGAGATGGGGGAGGGTCAGAGGGAGAAGCAGACTCCCCACCAAGCAGGGAGCCCAGTGTGGGACTCAATCCTGGGAGTCACCCAACCAACTGAGCCACCCAGGTGCCCAAAGCAGCTAACTCTTGATTTCCATTCAGGTCATGGTCTCAGGGTTGTGAGATCAAGCGCTTCAACAGGCTCCACACTCAGTGGGGAGTCTGCTTGAGAGTCTCGCTCTCTCTCCCTGCCTCTCCGAGACTCTGCCCCTCCCCCCACCATGCAGACCTGTGAGTGTGCTATCTCCTTCTAAAATAAATTTTGTTTTATTTTATTTATTTTTTAAGATTGATTTTATTGGCCAGAGAGTGAAAGAGCACAAGCAGGGGAAGCCTAAGGCAGAGGGAGAGGGTAAAGCAGGCTCCCCCAGAGCAGGGAACCCAACAGAGGGCTTGATTCCCAAGCCTAGGATCCCAGGACCCTAGGATCATGACCTGAGCCGAAGGCAGACACTTAACTGACTGAGCCACCCAGGTACCCCGTAAAATAAATAAATCTTTAAAAAATGAAACAAAATAAATTTTAGGCAAGATCGTATTTTCCATTAAACAAAGCGCATCATGTTTCTTGTGTGTGTATTTGTGTGAGCAAGGAGAAAGAAAAATTCAAACTTGAGTTGTTAATACTGTTAATACACCCATCTTTGTATATTTCTATAATGTTTGATACAAGAGGGGCGCCTGGGTGACTCAGTTGAGTGACTCTTGATTTTGGCTCAAGTCATGATCTCAGGGTCATGGGATTGAGCCCCACGTCAGGCTCCACACTCAGCAGGCAGTCTGCTTGTCCATCTCCCTTTGCTCCTCCTCCTGTTTGTGTGCACTCTTCCTCTCAAATAAGTAAATAAATAAAATCTTTCAAAAAATGTTTGGTATAAGAATACCAAGTCTTCCCTCATCACCTCCAAAAGAGCCTTCTACAGGTTAAGCCTGGAGAGACATTCTAGATCTACACTGTCCCGTATGGTAGCCTCTCTTCTAGTCATGGTCATATGTAGCTATTAAAAATAATTAAAATTGAAGTTTGTAGATTTCAGTCACATTGGCTGTATTTCAAGTGCTAACAGGCCACATGTAGCTAGTGGCTAACCCGTTGGGCAGCACAGAGTAGAACATATTCATCATTCCCAAATATCTTAGGGACAGTGCTATTCTAGATTATTCTTGCTTGCTCAACTGTCTCTTCCTCTCCTTCCTCTTCCTTCCATTCAATTAGACATGAAACCTTACCAGTTCTACTTTTGAATTCTCTTAAATGGGGGTGCCTGGGTGGCTCAGTGGGTTAAAGCCTCTGCCTTCGGGTCAGGTCATCATCCCAGGGTCCTGGGATCAAGCCCCGCATCGGGCTCTCTGCTCAGCGGGGAGCCTGCTTCCTCCTCTCTTTGCCTGCCTCTCTGTCTACTTGTGATCTCTATCTGTCAAATAAATAAAATCTTAAAAAAAAATAAATAAATAAAATAAATAATAAATAATAAATTCTCTTAAATGTGTTCTTGTTCTACATCCCCACTGACCTGGTTCAGCATCATTTCTTACCTGGACTAAGATGGAAGCCTCTTCGCTCTTTTCTTTGTCTCCAGTCCAGAGGGCTCCACTCTGTGCCCTGCCCTCTTACTGGTGTGATGTTTCTATAGTGTGGGCCGGGGTAATGCTAGACATCCTAGTATGACGGTCAGGATCCTTCCATCTCTGATGCCATCACTAACCACTTCCTACATCCGTTGAAGTTTGTGCTTTTGCATACTGAATCACTCATAATTTCCCTATACATTTCACACCTCTCTGCCTTCTCACATCTGTTTCCTCTGCATGGTGAAAAACATCTCTATATTCTTCAGAACCGAGGTCAGACACAGTGTGATTCCAGGAAGCCTTCACTGCCACCTGCCTGACCAGCTAGAGATAAGCATTTCTGTCTTTGTGTTAGTACTGTCCCTTAAAATGAACATCTTGGGTAGCCCTTTGCACACTGCACTGAAATTCTCTGTTTACATGTCTCTCTTTTCAGCTGGGTAATTGGCTTCTTTTTTTTTTTTTTTAATATTTTATTTATTTATTTGACAGAGAGAGAGATCACAAGTAGGCAGAGAGAGAGAGAGGGAAGCAGGCTCCCCGCTGAGCAGAGAGCCTGACATGGGGCTCGATCCCAGAACCCTGGGATCCTGACCCAAGCCGAAGGCAGAGGCTTTAACCCACTGAGCCACCCAGGCGCCCCATTCAGCTGGGTAATTGGCTTCTTATAGGCCAAGTCTGGGTCCGGTTCAATTCTGCTTCCTCAGGGCTGGCACTAGGCCTGGCAGGTAGCAAGTGACAAAATCAGTTTAGTCTTGCCTTTTGCTTCTGAGTTCTCATAGCACTTTCTTCTTATCCCCCTTTTTTTTTTTCTTTAAGATTTTATTTATTTGACTCCCCACTGAGCAGAGATCCCAAGGCCGGGCTTGATCCCAGGACCCTGGAATCATGACCTGAGCCAAAGGCCGATGCTTAACTGACAGAGCCACCCAGGCACCCCTCTTATGCCATTATTTGACATTTGTCACAGGCTGTCTTACTCAGTGGGTACCTTTGACCCGACTATAGTGTGTCTTCTGCTTCTTCCCTCCCTTCCCCAGTGGACTGTGCGCTCCCCGAAGGCGGAGGCTCTTCTTTTCTCCCCCATGACATCCCCATGGAGCGCCACTCACCGCAGGCACTAGGAAAATGTCCATGCAGCTCTTGAAGACAAGAGGGAGGCTGGATGCTGCTGTATTTGCATCCCAGCCCTACTTTCTGAAAAAAATCTGGTGATTTTCAAAAGTTTCTGATTTCTCAGATTCATATAGAAGAAATACAGTAGGAGTTTATGCTCACGTGTTATTTTTTTCCCACAGGCCTTGGATGAAGAGTATTTGAAAGTGGATGCCCAGTTTGGAGGTGTTGATCAGAGAAAGATTTTCACCTTTGCGGAGAAGGTCGGTGTTCTCTTCCCTGTCTTTTTTCCTTTTGTGCCTCAGGTATGCAGTTAAGGTTTACTGAATATGCCAGTCCCACCACTCATAACTCTATTGTGTGGCAGGTGTTGTTCTCCCTGTTTTGCAGACGAGAAAACGGAGTGTAGAGCAAGTTGTCCATTATCACACAGTTAGTGACTGAGCAGAAATTGGCACTCAGACCCGTTTGACCCAAAAGCCCGTGCTCTTGCTGCCACCTGGAAGCTGCCCACAGACCTGTTGGATTTGCTTCTTTCCTAATAACACGGTTTCTAGGGAAAGGGACCATCCGTCAGCTACTGGCTTTTCCCAGAGCGTTCAGTCCGTACTGCTCTGGATCTTACATAAACCAGTCATCTCTGAGATGAGGCTTAACAGGGTTTAAAGGAGGAAATCAGAGCAAACCCTTGGTAGTTCTTTTTGGGGGAAAGAATTTGAGTAGGTTGGAAAGGGCTATTGGGAAATGGTTGTTATTTTTGAAAGCTTCTCAAAACCTCATCTTGGCAAGGGTGTGGAGAAAACATTGTTAGTGGGAATGTATATTTCCAGGAGGGTAGTTTGCCCTGATAATGACACAAGTTGGTGCTAAGGAAATAATTTTAAAAGTGCAACTTCAGTTATATATGAAAGTATTTATCACATTATCAATTCAAAGGTAAAATCTAGACATAGGGACACCTCACTGGTTCAGTTGGTAGAGCATGCGACTCTTGATCTCAGGGTTATGAGTTCAAGCCCCACGTTGGGTGTAGAGATTACTTAAAAATAAAATCTCGGGGCGCCCGGGTGGCTCAGTGGGTTAAAGCCTCTGCCTTCGGCTCAGGTCATGATCTCAGGGTCCTGGGATCGAGCCCCACATCAAGCTCTCTGCTCAGCAGGGATCCTGCTTCCTCCTATCTCTCTGCCTGCTTCTCTGCCTACTTGTGATCTCTGTCTGTCAAATAAATAAATAAAAATCTTAAAAAAAATAAAATAAAATCTCTAGGGGCACCTGGGTGGCTTAGTGAGTTAAAGCCCCTGCCTTCAGCTCAGGTATGATCTCAGGGTCCTGGGATCGAACCCCATATCGGGCTCTCTGCTCAGCAGGGAGCCTGCTTCCCCCTCTCTCTCTGCCTGCCTCTCTGCCTACTTGTGATCTCTGTCAAATAAATAAATAAAATATTTAAAAAATAAAAAAATAAAAATAAAAAAATAAAATCTCTAAAAAATGAATATATAGGGATGCCTGGGTGGCTCCGTTGGTTAAGTGGCTGCCTTCGGCTCGTGTCATGATCCCAGCATCCTGGCATCAAGTCTCACCTCGGGCTCCTTGCTTGGCGGGGAGCCTGCTTCTCCCTCTGTCTCTGCCTGCCACTCCATCTGCCTGTGCTCGCTCGCTCACTCTCTCTCTCTCCCTCTGACAAATAAATAAATAAAATCTTAAAAAAAAATCTAGAGGGGCGTCTGGGTGGCTCAGTGGGTTAATAAGCCTCTGCCTTCGGCTCGGGTCATGGTCTCAGGGTCCTGGGATTGAGCCCCGCGTTGGGCTCTCTGCTCAGTGGGGAGCCTGCTTTCCCCTTTCTCCCTGCCTGCCTCTCTGCCTACTTGTGATCTCTGTCAAATAAAAAAATAAAATCTTAAAAAAATCTAGAAATAAACTCATATTCAATGGCAAGGGATTGTTATATGTTATGATAACTCCTCACAATGGAAGATTATATAGTATTTTTTAAATGGTTTTTGAATGTATTTTTTATTAAGTTTTTAATCTTATTTCCAGTATAGTAACATACAGTGTTATATTAGGTTCAGGTATGCAGTCTGCTCGTTCACCAGTTCTGTACGTTACTCAGTGCTCCTCACAGCAATTGTGCTCCTTAATCCCTATCCCCATTTCTCCTCCCCCCACCCCCCTTCCCTCTGGTGACCATCAGTTTGTTCTCTGTAGTTGAGTCCTGTTTCTTGGTTTGTCTCTCTTTCCCTTTTTGTCCCCTTTGCTGGTTTGTTTTGTTTCTTGAATTCCACATATGAATGAAATCATACGGTGTTTATCTTTCTTTGACTGGCTTATGGTTTTCAGGTATATTTAATGAACGAGGAATGCTTTCAATGTAAATTTTTTGATTATATATTTCATATTATTCTATTTTATCTCCTCTGTTAACTTTTTAGTTGCATCTACTTTTATTATTCTAGCAGAGATATGAACCATGGCTTGTTTTTGTGTGACTCACAAGCTCTAAGAACAGTATAATTTTTTTTTTAATAAAGATTTTATTTATTTATTCATGAGATAGAGAGAGGTAGACGTAGAGGGAGAAGCAGGCTCCCGTGGAGCAGGGTGCCTCATGCGGGACTCAATCCCAGGACCATGGATCATGACCTGAGCTAAAGGCAGATGCTTAACCCACTGAGCCACCCAGGTGCCCCCCCACCTTTTTAAATAAAGATTTTATTTCTTGGGACACCTGCGTGTCATGATCCCAGGGTCCTGGGATGTCAGACCTCTTGCTCAGTGGGGAACCTGCTTCTCCTCTGCTTGTGCACTCTCCCTCTCTCTCTCCGACAAATGAGTAAATAAATGAAATCTTTGGAAAAAAAAGATTTTATTTCTTTATTTTAGAGAACGATCACACTGGTGGCAGGGAGTGGCAGAGGGGGAGTGAGCAGGACAAGCAGACTTCACTTGGTACAGAGTGTGTAGCCCGACATAGAGCTTGATCCCACGACCCTGAGATCATGACCTGAGCAAAAACCAAAAGTCAGCCGCTCAACCAGCTGAGCCACCCAGGCACCCCTGGTTTTTATATTTTTTAAGAGCTCTACAAAACATGAAGAAGAATATGCAGTAGAGACCCTATGTGGGCAAAGTCTCTAAGTCTAAAAATATGTACCATTTGGTCCTTTACAGGAAAGTTTTGCTCACCTATGCCCTAGAGATTACAGCATGTGTCTTTGTAACATATAACACTTTAAATTCGATATTTTTACCACTTCTCAATGATGTAAAAACCTACAATTTTATCCATTTAACTCCTTCTGCCCTTTGTGCTATTGTCATACAGTTCACTTCTTTTTTTTTTTTTAAAGATTTTATTTATTTATTTATTTGTCAGAGACAGAGGGAGAGAGAGTGAGCGAGCACAGGCAGACAGAGAGGCAGGCAGAGGCAGAGGGAGAAGCAGGCTCCCTGCCGAGCAAGGAGCCCGATGTGGGACTCGATCCCAGGACGCTGGGATCACGACCTGAGCCGAAGGCAGCCGCTCAACCAACTGAGCCATCCAGGCGTCCCAAGTTCACTTCTACATGTATTTTAAATCCCGAAGACTTTATTATAATTCCTTTTTAAGCACTCAATTTTTTTTAAAGATTTTATTTATTTATTTGACAGAGATCACAAGTAAGCAGAGAGGCAGGCAGGGGGTTGGGGGGAGAAGGCTCCCCACTGAGCAGAGAGCCCGATGTGGGTCTTGATCCCAGGACCCTGAGATCATGACCTGAGCCAAAGGCAGAGGCTTAACCCACTGAGACACCCAGATGCCCCTTAAGCACTCAATTTTCCTATACACTTAGCCCTACTCACTCTTCCTGGTACTCTTGATCCTTCCACGGCTTCTGTGCTTCTGGGCTTCCATCTGGGATCATTTTCCTTCGACCTGAAGAGCCTCCCCCCATCCAATTTGGCATTGGTAGTACACGTCGTTAGTAATAAGTTCTTTCAGCTTTCTTCTGAATGAAAACATCTTTCTTTTGTTTTCACTGGATATCAAATTCTAGGTTGGCAATTATTTTTCTTTTAACACTTTAAAGAGTAATCCCATTGCCTCTTGCTTCCCTAGTTTCCATTGAGAAGTCACCTGTAAGTATTATTGTTTCTCCTTTATAGATAATACAGCTTTTCTCTGGCTGCTTTTAGAGTTTTCTCTGTCTCTGATTTTCAGCAATTTGACTATTATGTTCCTGGGTATAGTTTTCTTGGTATTTATTTTATCCTACTTGGATTTTGCTGAGCTTCCTGAGTCTGTTTTCTTCAATTTGGAGAAATTGTCCCCTGTTATTTCCTTAAATTTTGCTTCTATCCTATTCTCTCTCTCCTGTGCTAGGACCCTAATTCCCTAATTATACGTATGGTCGACTTCTTGACCATGTCCCACACTTCTCTTATATTCTGTTCTGTTGTTCCCCCCTGCCTTTTTTTTTTTTTTTGTCCCTTCTGTACTTAGTTGGGTTATTCTCTGCTGACTTTTCTTCAAGTTCATCAAACCTGTCTTCTGTTAAGACCATCCAATATCGTAGCATGCCATCTTAGAAATTCTAGTTGGTTCTTTTTTATAGATTCCAGTTCTCTCTTGAAATCCTGTCTTTTATCCATTTTGTCCATCTTTCTCTCTGTTTCCTTTAACATACCAATCATAGTCATTTTGACATCCTGATATGTTTATCCCAATATCTGGATTATTCCAGGGTCTGCTTTTATTGACTGTTTTCTCTTAACTATCAGACATTTTTTTTTTCTTTTTGCCATTTCTAGTACTTTATTGTATCAGAGACATCATAGATGTGTTGTAGAGACTCTGGATTATGTTTATAGGGTGCTGTGCTTTTTGTAGGCTGTTAAATTACGCCTTATCACCTTGATCCTGTCTTCACTGGTTCTAGGCTCGGTCAGAACAGGTCTGTTTCAGTTTTGCCCTTCCTCCTACGATGTGGTCCTTATTCCTGGGATGTGACCTTTCTGGAGTCTCAAACTCAAATCTCAGAGTGTTGACAAAGACCTCTTTACTCTGAGTGGACCTGAACTTCATACTGTCTCCCCAGCACTGTCCAGTGTCTAAAATCTCTCTGCGGGTCTCCAGCCTCCCAGTACCTGTTCCCTGCTGGACTTCCTGGTGTCTTTCTGTATGCACACACAGCTATGAGTCGGCTCATAAATCACTGGGGGAATTTTTACTTAGATTTGGGTCGGGGAGCTCGCTTTACTCTAAAACCCTTACCAAATCCCAGCATCCTGGCAGTACTGAACCCCATACTCTCTCTCCTCTCCTTCATCAGACAGCTCTTCTCTTTTTCTCAGCACCTGGTTTGGAAAAAATGCCCTCAAGAAGAAAGCCAGGGTGAGTGTGGGGTCACCTTTGCTTTCCCTTCTGTCAAGCTTTGTAGCCCTACTGCTATTGCTGTTGAATGCCTACGAATGGTTATTTTATATGTTTCCAGCTTTTAGAGTTGTTTATGGTGACAGGGCAAATCCAATGTAATGTAAAAATCACAATATAATACTAACAGAAAAGCAGTTGAGAAAACAGACACCTTTTTTTTTTTTGAGATAAAGAAAACTTGTTTATGTTATGTACACCATCAAAAGGTTGTGTATTCAACACAATGGAGTATTACTCAGCCTCCCAAAAAATGAAATGTCATCATCTGCAATGACATGGATGGAACTAGAGTGTATTATGTGAAGTGAAATATGTCGGTCTGGGGTGCCTGGGTGGTTCAGTCGGTTAAGTGTCTGCCTTCAGCTCAGGTCATGATCCCAGGGTTCTGTGATCAAGTCCTGCATCGGGCTCCCCACTTAGTGGGGAGCCTGCTAATCCCTCTCCCTCTGCTTCCCACTCTCCCTGCTGTGTTCTTTTACTCTGTCAAATAAATAAAGTCTTTAAAAAAGAAAAGAAGTCAGTCAGTCAGGGTAAGAAAAATACCATATGATCTCACTCACATGGAATCTAAGAAACAAAACAAATGAGGGGAAAAGAGAGAGAGGCAAAACGAGAAACGACTCTTTAACTGTAGAGAACAAACTGATGGTTAACACAGGGGAGGTGGGTGGGGGACGGGAGAAACAGAGGATGGGGCTTAAGGCATGTGCTTGTTGTGATGAGCAACAGGAGACGAATGGAAGTGTAGAATCACTAAATTCTATACCCGAAACTAATATTATGGTGTATGTTAACTAAGTTTAAGTAAAACCCTTAGTTTTTTAAAATTTTTTAAGGATTTATTTATTTATTTATTTGACAGAGATCACAAGTAGGCAGAGAGGGGGGAAGCAGGCTCACTGCTGAGCAGAGAGCCCAATGCGAGGCTTGATCCCAGGACCCTGAGATCATGACCTGAGCCAAAGGTAGAGACTTAACCCACTGAGCCACCCAGGCACCCCAAGTAAAAACTTTAAAAAAAGAGAGGAAGAAAGAAAGGTTGTATGTTCAGTAAAAAAAAAAAATAGAGATTGGAAAAGCTATATCAAACTATCACGTTGCTGGACAAGTTAGATGAGACTGGGGCACTGAGGAGGAATTTATACTAACAGCAGCTTTGTGTGTTTCTTTCTAACCCCCCAGTACCTCCCTGCACTTGGCTACTCAAAACGGGTCCATCTGATGAATCCCATGGTTCCAGGATTAACCGGCAGTAAAATGAGCTCCTCAGAAGAGGTACGTTTGCCAATTCTGACTTGAGTTTAGAAATCCTCAGCAAGAGATAAAAGGATTGAAGACTCAAAAGAAGATTTCCCCTCGCTAACCAGAGTTCTTGTAGATCTGAGTTCCAGGGAATCTGAAGCCATCCAGGTAATTTCAGTGGTTCTTGAATATTGAAGGACCCAGAAGCAGTCCTGATGAGATACCATCATAACCTTAACACTTTCCCTGCGGCTGGTAAAACGCACAGGCAAAAGTAGTTTCTTCATTCATAGAACTGTGCTCAACGTCAGCCTTATTCATGAGATTAGTGAGGCTAGGGTGGCATTTCACCATAGAGTATCTGGATTCTCGGGCTGATATTTGATGTAACTACTGTGATAAATACAATATCTTCTAACAGTTAGAAGTCCTGCTTCGGAAGAATACACTTCTGTTTTGATCACTGAGGATACAGAATGGAGGACGTAGTGGAATCCCCAAGATGGGAAAGGTTGCCTTCTGGGTTCCCAAACACAGCTGAGCTTCAGAACCACTTAGGGAATTTAAAAACAATAACAACAAACGTTGCTTTGGCTGTTCTTAGAGATTCTATGATGAAGTGGTTCTGGGGAACATTAGGAATCTGTATTTTCTTTCAAATTCCACCAGGTGATTCTGACTGAAGTCTAATTTGGGTGTTCTTCTAGTTCTTTAAATCTGACTTTTCAATCTTTGATCAGAGATCAGTAAATACACACGTGGAACCTGTTGTTATTTTTTCAAGGAATATATAAAATATTTGTTTTTCTCTGTGTTAAAGTCTTCCATGTATCAGTTATTTCTCTGACAAAATATCGTATCACTCACCCTGTTTAGTAACTTTCACCATATCTTGGCCCTGGAAGTCAGTGTTAGCAGCAGTTCCTGAACATGATTGCATCAGAATCACTTAGAGAGCTTTTTAAAGATACCAATACCTGGCCCAATCTCAAGAGATTTTGAAGTTTTGTTTTGTTTTTTGTTTTTTTTTGGGTTTTTTTTGACAGAGAGAGAGAGAGAGAGAGATCACAAGTAGGCAGAGAGGCAGGCAGAGAGAGAGGAGGAGAGATTTTGATTCATCTTCCGGTAACTTCCTTTTTTCACCCCAGATGACTCATACGCAGGCATACACAGACCAGAATTTGGTAACCACTGGACCCAAAGAACCATGCACTTGCTCACTCCAAAATAAGAAACAGTTTCTACTACCTAAAAAGAGAAGATGGCTCTATTTACTAGATAGTACCTGGGTTGGGGGTTTGCCATGCAGCAAGCCGCTCACATACTGTTTTGGGCAATGACCAGGAGTATGCCCCTTTCGTAAAACAGTTTTGGGCCTGACAGTTTTGGGTAGGTTAAGGAAATAATCCTAGAGAAGGCAGAAACAAAAACAGTAAAAACCTCTGCAAAGGGCGCCTGGGTGGCTCAGTGGGTTAAGCCTCTGCCTTCAGCTCAGGTCATGATCTCAGGGGCCTGGGATCGAGTCCCACATCGGGCTCTCTGCTCAGCAGGGAGCCTGCTTCCCTCTCTCTCTCTCTGCCTGCCTCTCTGCCTACTTGTGATCTCCTCTGTCAAATAAACAAATAAAATCTTAAAAAAAAAAAAAACTGCAAAGATGTTCATTGTACTATTGTATATAATTTGTCAAAATTAGAACATAATCTAACAGTTCAGAAATCATGTTGTCAGTAATAACTGGGAGTGTGATACAGCATAAAAATTAGAAGCAAAGGGGCACCTGGGTGGCTCAGTCGTCAAGCGTCTGCCTTTGGCTCAGGTCTTGATCCTGGGGTCCGGGGATCGAGCCCTGCATCGGGCTCTCTGCTCGGCGGGCAGCCTGCTTCTCCCTCTCCCACTCCCCCTGCTTGTGTTCCCTCTCTCTCTGTCAAATAAATAAATAAAATCTTAAAAAAAAAATTTGGACGCAAAGACTAGGTAGCCCCTCAGAAATACTTACAATATAGTCTGAAGTAAAAAAGCAAAGGTTAGACATTTGTTCTCCAACTGCGAGTTTGTAACGATTCTGCATGTTACAGGCCTGGGAAGAACACAGGAAAACTGAAATCGTGATTTTTGTCAGGTGGCAATATTGTGAGTGGTTCTTGACTCTGATTAATACTGCTTTTATTAAAGTTGTTAATGTTTAAACCTCTGTTTAAAAAAAAAAAAAACACACAGATTAGTTGAGCATATCTCATTCTCCACCATAAGAGTTCCCTTCTCTGTGGCTTCTAGGAGTCCAAGATTGATCTTCTTGACCGGAAGGAGGATGTGAAGAAAAAACTAAAGAAGGCCTTCTGTGAGCCAGGGAATGTGGAGAACAATGGGGTTCTGTCCTTCATCAAGCATGTCCTCTTTCCCCTCAAGTCCGGTAAGACACTCGCTGATTGCTTCTCGGAGGCCAGGCGGAGGGAGCAGAGCTAGTACTGTGCTCATCCTTGGGGTTGGTTAAGAGTCTTCCTTCGGGCTTCCCTCTGACTTCTCATATACCAGGGTACACTTGCACTTGGGATGTGATTTCATTGCCCATGAGATTGTCACCAGGTTGGGTTCTAAGCAGAGTGTCAAGGTGGGCGGGGGTTGTAGAAATGAGGGTGGGCACAGGCATGCTGAATTAGAGCAAGACGAAAGAAATGTAAGGCACAATCCTTCCCCTTGAGCATGGGTGCCAGCTGGGTTGCCGGCTCATCTGATTTAAGAACAATAAGATATATAAATATATATATCATATAATAAAGTTGAAATGTATAACAGAATAAAAATTGAAAATGTATAACAGAAACTACAAGTATCCGTACCATTTGAGCTAGGACTGCTGACTTTGCCATTACCGATGAGTTTGTTGGCATGGATCCTTTGTCTTACAGAGTTTGTGATCCTTCGAGATGAGAAGTGGGGTGGGAACAAAACCTATACTTCTTACTTGGACCTGGAAAAGGACTTCGCTGATGAGGTAATCCCAGAGGAGGAGAACCCCCCCCGCCCCCGCCGAATTCCTTCTGCCAGACCTCTCCTTGACCTAGCCAGCTTTCTAGCACCTGCCCCAAGTCTCCGCTTGATGCTCTCCAGGGCTGTGTATCACGGGCAGTGGCTTAATGAGGATTCGGGTGGTTCACAGGTTAGGCGAGCGAATGGCCCAAAGCTAAAATATTGGTGTCCTAATCACTCTGCAAAGGATTTAACCTGGAATGAGGGACCAAACCCAGCAAGGTGAAGTATTTCAGGGACAGGTGCAAAGTCAGAGTTCAGAAAAGAAACACCTAGGAAAGGACAGCATAGAGGATCCTGCTGACCTCAAGAGACCACTTAAGAAAAGAATTCCTGGGTACCCATGAGTTTGGCACCACGGTGAGGGCTGGCATTACAGAGGATTAAATCCTCACGAAGCTCGTGGTCCAGAAGGAAAGGCGGACGTGTAAATAAACATCATTGCCGTGTGGCTGTGCGATGATGGTGTATACATGGTCCAGAGAGAAGATGGGAGGAAGTGATTACCGGGCTGTGGGGCAAAGCTTTGCAGAGGAGATGACATCCAAATAGAGGGACTAAATTGTGCGCGACACAGGAAGATGAAATAGCACGGTACAGAATCGCAAGTGGTTTGGTCTGACAAACTGGCGGAGTGTTGTGGGCGAGCCAGGCAGGGCCAGGTCCTAAAGGGAAGATGTGATAGTGGTGCATATGGGGAAGGAAATGAGGGCTTTTGATTGGCTCTGACTTTGGGTTGAATCAGCAGTGTGATTGGGCTGTCAGAAATGTGAACGGGGTCTTGCTGTAAGATATGGAAAATGTGGAGTCTGGAACCAGGGAGTCCATTCAGTTCTCCACTGGTGTGAGTCCATTTGGGGCTTTGCATCCAGGCCTGGACTTCGATTTTATGAGGTTTGTTAGACAGTCTGGGCTGTGTTGGGGAGACGAAGGGGGCTGTGTTAGGGAACAGACTGAAACCTTTGTCGCAGAGGCACAGTTGAAAGAACTGGGGATGTGTGGCTGGGAATCAGGGCTGCGTTCGGTCCACCTCAGATTCATGGCAGACTCTCGTGGGGGACGGGTTGGATTTCTTCCTGTGGCCCCAGAGGGCTAAGCCAGGCCTGTGGGTGGGGCACGTTCAGGTTCAACATCAGGGAGAGCCGTGCAGCAACCTTTGTTGGATGGCAGTGGGCCAGGCTGCCTCACCTGACTTTGTGTCGCCATCACTGAGGTGTTCAGGCAGAGGCCAGAAGCCCCCTGCAGGCAACACGGTGTGAGGGTTTGAACATCAAATAGAGGAAAAGTCTCCATGACCTCGGAGCTCTGCGGCCCTTAAGGCCCATTTTTTTGGATGTTTCACAGCCATTGCACTGAAGCCCTCTACGTGCAGTCTGAAGCAGCCATAAAACCCACGCGTCACTCCTCAGCCCCGTGAACAGTCATCTGTGGAAATAACAAGAAGGACAGAAGAAGTGGGTCTGAAGAAAAGCCTAGAACAGCACTAGCCCATAGAACTTTCTTTGAGGGCCGACACATTCGGGGTGTGCTCTCTCACGTGGCTGCCACTGGTCCTGTGTGGTCAGCCTTTCTGTGAGCCCCGTGCAACTGCGAAACTGAATAGTACTTTACACTCAGCCCCACGTGGCTAGCGGCTGTCGCACTGAACAGAGCAGGTCTAAAGCTTTTCTGATGTTAAAAACGAAACATTCCAAAAGAAATGAGAGAGTATCAGAAGCAAAAATGGAGGCACTGTTGTATTACAGGTATCCACAGCTAAGAGATAACTCCTCAGAATATCTAGCGGAGCCTCTCAGGCCGGATTTGGGATATAAAAGTACTAGTTACGGGACACAAGAAGAAGAATCAAATGGCTGTGCCCCTGCCCTGTACTAGCATCAGTCACCGTATTCACCCACATTATGGGACTGGATCCTCATTCTGACACTCTGAGACCTAGGTATTCTCTTCAGTTCTTAAGTAAAGCATCCCAAACTTAGAGGGGTTAAGTGCCTGGTTCAGGGTCACACAGCTAGCTGGGACTCTAGCCCCGGTCTGTCTAATGCCCTCACTCTCTCTTCTCGCTCGCCCAGCTCCCTCCCAGGCTATCTCCTCGGATTGCCTCTGTGGGTGTTTCTCCGCCTGTAAATAGCCCCTGGTTCATGCCACCACTCGAAACATGAATGGGGGGACTAGAAGAATTTGATTAATAAAAACGTTCAGCCTCAAAAAAAAAAAAAAAAAGTTCAGCCTCTAAAACCCCCCAAGTTACTGCAGCTCAGGTCATGATCTCGGGGTCATGAGATGCAGCCCCACACTGGGCTCCACGCTGGGCATGTAGCCTGCTTCAAGTTCTCTCTCTCCCTCTCCCTCTGACCCCCAGCCTTGCGTGCACTCTGTCTCTCAAATAAATAAATAAATAAATACATCTTTCATTGATTTCTGCTCTTGATCTTTATTATTTCTCTTCTGCTGAGTTTAGGCTTTATTTGCTGTTCTTTCTCCAGCTCCTTTAGGGTTAGGTTGTGTACTTGAGATCTTTCTTGTTTCTAGAGAAAGGTTTATATGGCTATATACTTTCCTCTCAGGACTGCCTTTGCTGTGCCCCCAAAGACTCTGAACAGTTGTGTTTTCATTTTCATTTGTTTCCATGAGTTTTTAAAATTCTTCTTTAATTTCCTGGTTGACCCATTCTTTCTTTAGTAGGATGCCCTTTAACCTCCATGTATTTGAGTTCTTTCCATCTTTCCTCTTGTGATTGAGTTCTAGCTTCGGAGCATTGTGGTCTGAAAATATGCAGGGAATGATCCCAATCTTTTGGTACCAACTGAGACCTGATTTCTGACCCAGGATGTGATCTATTCTGGAGAATGTTCCATGTGCACTAGAGAATAAGGTGTATTCTGTTGCTTTGGGATGGAATGTTCTGAATATATCTGTGATGTCCATCTCGTCAAGTGTGTCATTTAAAGCCCTTATTTCCTTGTTGATCTTTTGCTTAGATGATCTGTCCATTTCAGTGAGGGGGTGTTAATGGTTTTTACTAACACTAAGGTGTTTACTATTACTGTATTATTGTTGATATGTTTCTTTTTGTTCTTAACTGGTTAATATAATTGTCTACTCCCATGTTAGGGGCATATATATTTAAAATTGATAGATCTTCTTGTTGGACAGTCCCTTTAAGTATGACATAGTGTCCTTCCTTATCTCTTATTATAGTCTTTGGCTTAAAATCTTATTTATCTGTTACAAGGATTGCCACCCCAGCCTTCTTTTGATGTCTATTAGCATGGTAAATTGTTTTCCACCCCGTCACTTTAAATCTGGAGGTGTCTTTGGGTCTAAAATGAGTTTTGTTTTGTTTTTTTTAAGATTTTATTTATTTATCACAAGTAGGCAGAGAGGCAGGCAGGAAGGGGTAGGGGGAAGCAGGCTCCCCACTGAGCAGAGAGCCCAATGGAGGGCTCGATCCCAGGACCCCGAGATCATGACCTGAGCGGAAAACAGAGGCCTAACCCACTGAGCCACCCAGGCACCCCTAAAATGAGTTTCTTGTGGACAGTGTATCAATGGGTCTTAGTTTTTTATCCATTCTGATACCTTTTGTCTTTTGATTGGAGCATTTAGCCCATTTACATTCAGGGTAACTATTGAAAGGTGTGAATTTACTGTCGTTATATTGCCTGTAAGGTGACTGTTACTGTATATTGTCTCTGTTCCTTTCTGGTCTGTGTTACTTTTAGGCTCTCTCTTTACTTAGAGGACCCCTTTCAATATTTCCTGTAGGGCTGCTTTGGTGTTTGCAAATTCTTTCAGTTTTTGTCCTGGAAGCTTTTTATCTCTCCTTCTATTTTCAGTGACAGGCTAGCTGGATATAGTATTCTTGGCTGCATATTTTTCTCATTCAATGCTCTAAATATATCATGCCAGTCCTTTCTGGCCTGCCAGGTCTCTGTGGATAGGTCTGCTGCCAGTCTAATATTTCTACCATTGTATGTTACAGACCTCTTATCCCGAGCTGCTTTCAGGATTTTCTCTTTGTCACTAGACTTGTAACTTTTACTATTAGATGATGGGGTGTGGACCTATTTTTACTGATTTTGAGGGGGGGGGTACCCTGTGCCTCCTGGATTTTGATGCTTGTTCCCTTCGCCAAATTAGGGAAATTCTCTACTATAATTTGCTCCAATACACCTTCTGCCTCTCTTTTTCTTCTTTCTTCTGGAATCCCAATTATTCTAATATTGTTTCATCTTATGGTATCACATATCTCTCAAATTCTTCCCTTGTGGTCCAGTAGTTGTTTGTCTCTCTTTTGCTCAGCTTCTTTATTCTCCATCATTTGGTCTTCTATATCACTAATTCTTTCTTCTGCATCGTTTATCATAGCAGTAAGAGCCTCCTTTTTTTTTTTTTTTTTAAGATTTTATTTTATTTATTTGACAGACAGAGTTCACAGGTAGGCACAGAGGCAGGCAGAGAGAGGAAGGGAAGCAGGCTCCCTGCTGAGCAGAGAGCCCAATGCAGGGCTCAATCCCAGGACCCTGGAATCATGACCTGAGCCGAAGGCAGAGGCTTTAACCCACTGACCACCCAGGCGCCCCTGAGCCTCCATTTTTTATTTCCCCTCATTAATAGCTTTTTTTATTTCAACTTGGTTAGATTTTAGTTCTTTTATTTCTCCTGAAAGGGATTTTATTTCTCTAGAAAAGGATTCTCTAATATCTTCCATACTTTTTTTGAGCCCAGCTAGCACCTTGAGAATCGTTCTGAACTCTAGTTCTGACATATTACCAATGTCCATATTGACTAGGTTCCTAGCCATTGGTACCGCCTCTTGTTCTTTATTGTGTGCTGTTTTTCTGCCTTGTCATTTTATCCAGATAAGAATAGATGAATGAGAGAACAAAATACTAAAAGGGTAGCAAAACCCCAGAAAAATATATACTAACCAAGTCAGAAGAGACTTGAAACTGGGGGGAAAAGGGGAACCAAAAAAAAAAATTTATATATATATATATATTTATATATAAATATATAAATTATATAAATATATATATAAATTATATAAATATATATTTATATATATAAATTGTATATATATTTTTATATAATTATGTATATATATAAATTTTATATATACATATATATAACATTTATATATAAATATATGTATATATTTTATATATATAGCATATATATATATATATATATATATATATATAACATATATGTATATGTTAGACTGGTGAATAGAGCAGAGCCCCACACTTGATTTTGGGTGTATTTTAATCTGTTAGAAGAAACTACCTCCCAAAATTTTAAAGAAAGATAAACTTATATATACAAAAATAAGGGTAAACATGATGAAGGGATGGAATATGACTATAAAGATGAAAATTTAAAGATTCTAAAAAAAAGAATTGATAAGTTGTTTGGAAAAAGAGGAAAGAATGTGATCAGGCTGGAGACTAGGACAAAGCTGTGTGCTAGATTTAGGGTACATTTTGATCTATTAAAAGAAATTGTATCCCAGAATTTTTTTTTTTAAAGATTTTATTTATTATTTATTTGACACAGAGAGAGAGAGAGAGAGACAGACAGACAAATCACAAGTAGGCAGAGAGGCAGGCAGACCAGGAGGAGGAAGCAGGCTCCCTGCAGAGCAGAGAGCCCGATGCGGGGCTCGATCCCAGGACCCTGGGATCATGACCTGAGCTGAAGGCAGAGGCTTTAACCCACTGAGCCACCCAGGCGCCCCTCCCAGAATTTTAAAGGAAAAAAAAAAACCTGTGTGTATACAAACACAAGGTTAAATTCAATGAAAGGATAAAATGTGACTATAATGATGAAAATTAGAAAAGATTTTTTAAAAGATATTGAGAGGATAAAATAGTTCAGAAATGTTAAAATAGGAAAGAGGAAAATTTTTTAAAAATAGAATAAGAAAAAAATAAAATTAAAAAAATATAACTTTGAAAGACTAAAGGATCATGGGGAAGAAAGCCATGAATTCTATGTGTTGCTTTCCCTTAGCTCTGGCATCCTGCAGTTCTCATTGATCAGTGAACTTGGTCTTGGCTGAATGTTCTTGCTGATCTTCTGGGGGAGGGGCCTGTTGCTGTGATTCTCAAATGTCTTTGCCTGAAGTGGAATTGCACCACATTTGCCAGGGGCGAGTCTAAGTAATCTTCGTAGTTTGGGGCTCCCTGAACACTTTCCATACAGCTTTGGAGGACAGGAGTGAAGATGGCAGCCTCCCAGTCTCTGGCCCATAGGAGCCGAGAGCTGAGGGCCCCACTTCTCAGTGCAACCTCAGAGAAAAGCAGTCGATCCCTCCCGTCTCCCTGGTCTCCACCTGGCCTGTGACCAAGCGTTTCTGTCTCTGGTGCACAGCCCCGTTTGCAGTCTCCAAATCCAGCAGATCCTGTCGTGCATTCCCCCGCCACTCCTCCTGGAGGAGGAAGGAGGAGGTCCCTCCGGATCTGCCACTTGTGGGGTCCCTGCTTGAAGAGCAGTGGACTGACTATGCCTCGATCATGGTTTAAGGTGACCCCGAGCTGAGAGCTCACTCCTCAGCCCCATCTCTGCAGCCGGCTTCCCTGCTCTGATACCTGGGAGCTCTGCCACCACTCAGACACCCCTGGTCTTTTTGTGTCCCCGTGGGTCCTGAGACCACACTATCCCCATGAGGGCTCCACACCTGGCTTAGCCTCTGGAGTGACATCCCTCTGCGGAGCAGACTTCTAAATGTTCTGATTTTGTGCCCCACTGCTCTTTCACTTGCCGGGAGCCAGCCCCTCCCCCCGTGGTCAGTCTTCCCTTATGTTGCCTCGGATTCACTTCTCCGCCCATCCTGCCTTCCGGAAAGATGTTGATTTTCTAGATTTGCTAGATTTCCTAGAATTGCTGCTCCTCTTCTCCTCCATCTCCTGTTGAGTTTGTAGGTGTTCAGAATGGTTTGATAACTATCTAGCTGAACTTCTGGGACCTGATGATATCTCAGTCTCCTACTCCTCCGCCATCTTGCTCCTCCCCAAATAAAGAAATCTTTTTTTTTTTTTTTTTAAGATTTATTTATTTATTTATTTGACAGGGAGAAAGAGACAGCAAGAGATGGAACACAAGCAGGGGGAGTGGGAGAAGGAGAAGCAGGCTTCTCACCAAGCAGGGAGCCCAATGTGGAGCTCCATCCCAGGACCCTGGGATCATGACCTCAGCCAAAGGCAGCTGCTTAATGACTGAGCCACCCAGGCGCCCTCAAATAAATAAATCTTAATAAGATGCAATCCCTCAAGTTAGGATGGAATTCAGAGTCAAAAGACCTAAATCTCGGACTAGAAAATCTTCCTGAACCTGTGTCCTCTTCTTGGCTTTGTCAGCTTCACGGGGCTGCTCTGAGGGTCAGCGGCCTGCATCCTACACCACACATTGTCATTAGTCAGACGTGTCATGCCCCCCCTCAGGTGGCTCCCCTCACCGGCCCTTTGCACACTTCCACAGGTTGTACATCCTGGAGACCTGAAGAATTCTGTGGAGGTCGCCCTGAACAAGTTGCTGGATCCTATCCGGGAAAAGTTTAACACCCCTGCCCTGAAGAAACTGACCAGCGCTGCCTACCCAGAGCCCTCCAAGCAAAGTAAGGCCAGCCCGGGAGGTCAGGGGCCAAGGGCTGCATGACGTCATCATGACAGAGCGCCTGTCGGTGGGCTTCCAAAAAGGGTCTGTCTTAAATCGAGAGCCCGAGAAGCCAGGGGGTCAGAAGTGCAGGAATATCCTAGCCCATTGACCTCTGGAATGGAACTTGAGTCATCGGGATTTAGGTTTGGGCGATACTGTGATTACATCCTGTTGTCCCAGTCTACTGGTGTGAGACGTGTACTGTGATCCTTCGCTCAATCCTTCAGTTAAGGGAGCAGTTGGGTTAGACCATGAGGGAACAGAGCTGCTCAGAGCCTGCACAGCTCCTTAGGGAAGCTCATCTTCAGCTTTGCCTAATTCCTTTCCGTATGCTTCTGACTGGCCCTTAGCTGGCTATCCACTTAACCCGTGACACTGAGATATCAACATGGATGGTTTTGTGTGACTCTCCCAACTCAATAAATGTATGTGGAGAGCACAAATGGAAACACCTAAAGGTAGCCAAGCTATTACTGCCCCCTGCCCCGTTTCCTCCCCGCCAGATACCTGAGGGAAACAATAGATGAAAATCTGGCATGTCACTTCTCAAAGGTTGCTGATCCTGGGGTTTTTTTTTTTGTTGTTGTTGTTGTTTTAAGATTTCGTTTGTTTGTTTGACAGAGAGATCACAAGTAGGCAGAGCAGCAGGCTTGGCGGGGGGGCCGGGCCGGGGGAAGCAGGCTCCCCGCTGAGCAGAGAGGCAGATGTGGGGCTCCATCCCAGGACTCTGAGATCATGACCTGAGCCGAAGGCAGAGGCTTAACCCACTGAGCCACCCAGGTGCCCTGCTGATCTGTTTTAAGGAAGATATAACTAGGGGGCCCCTGGCTGGCTCATTTGGTAGAGCCTACGACTCTTGAGCTCGGGGTCATGAGTTTGAGTCCCATATTAGGCGTAGAGATGACTTCAAAAAGAGAAAAGATATAACTAAAGGGGTAGATTCTGGGGTTCTACATGAAACCCTGCTAGTGTTCCCAGTGGGTGTGTCAGCGGTTGACCTGTCATGGCAAAGGAGGGTTCTGACCCTTTGGGGCTCTTCTCATTCCCAGAGCCAGTTGCCAAAGGCCCTGCCAAGAATTCAGAACCAGAGGAGGTCATCCCGTCCCGGCTGGATATCCGCGTGGGGAAAGTCATTAGTGTGGAGAAGGTACTCATTTTTCACCACATCCCAGAGAGGCAGATGGGGTCACGTTTGTCTGTTGTTTCCATCTGAGGGAAACCTGGCCTGGGATGAGAAATTACTTCCCTGAGGTCACATTGCAAGTCAGAACGCAGGTGCCTAATTGCAGGTGTCAGCCTTTTCCCTTTGCTGCCTCTGGACCTTGTGCAACCAGACACAGCCAGGAACTCAGGGTGGGGGGAGGGTATTAGTCAGAGGGAGCTTGCTTATCCATTAAATCCGATCCCATAGACTCCTCTGGTCTGTACCACCTTGTCTGGACTTAGCTGCAGGCCTTATCTCCGATCAGCCACTTGGTCCTGCTGTCCCATCCCACACACCCCTGAAAATGGGGAAGGGAGAGGGACTTCCTTTTTCCCCAGAGGAAAAGGTTATGCAACCAGGGACCTGGGACCATTGTGGACTTTTTTTCTCTACCAGCATTCTTTTTCACAGCATAGACCCAGCTATGGAAACAACTTTGAGGTAGCTGCGGGTGCTCTTTGAGATGGCAAGGCCAGCGCTGTCCTCCATCCTCCTCCAGGCTGGGGCAGTGTGTGGCCGTAATGGTCGCCACCCAGAAGGCTCAGGCCACTTAACCTCTGGGGGAGACTGCTCGCCCCTCCTTTTACTCGAAGCCTGCCTCTTGGCAGACAGTAAAATGAACCCTCGCGACCCATTCTCCGGTCTGCTATCTGGGACCTGGAGAGAGTTTGCTCCAGGGGCCCCTGAGGAGCCTGTGCCAGGGAGTGGTGCCCACCATGGCGCTCAGGGCTCCCTGGTGCCGCCCGTGACCCAGTGCGTTATGGTCCCATCTGGCCTGACCTCTCGCATAGCACCCGGATGCAGACAGCCTGTATGTGGAGAAGATTGATGTGGGGGAAGCCGAGCCTCGGACTGTGGTGAGCGGCCTGGTGCAGTTCGTGCCTGAGGAGGAGCTGCGGGACCGGCTGGTGGTGGTGCTGTGCAACCTGAAGCCCCAGAAGATGAGAGGCATCGAGTCCCAAGGCATGCTTCTGTGCGCCTCCATGTGAGTGAGAACAGGGGGTGGAGAGGGGGAGGGAATGGGCCCACGCAACACCCTTCCCCACGCCAGGTGGAAGCCCTGAGGACCCAGTCCAAAAGATGAAGGAATGAGTTCCTGGACACTTAACTGCGAATAATACGCTTTACCTAAAGTCAGTTTTATTAAGACAGAAATCCGAAGGCTTGGAGCAGTAGGCACGTGCTGGAGTCTCTCTCCCAGATAAGTCGGAGCCAGGAGTCCTACCTGATTCTGACTGGCCGATTGGGCCTTGCTTCTGTTATGTCCTACTTCCTCCCGACGAAAACCCAGATTTGGGTGTCTCTCCAGACAGAGCATTTCGGGGTAGCCCAGGCCAGCCCATCCCAGTAGCATCCTGGTAGCCCATCCCAGTAGCTCTGCCCTGAGGGCCCCTATGTAGAGGCCCTAAGGCCTTGGCTTCCACAGCAGCTACAGGCAGGCCACAGCCTCACTCCTCCCTCATCCTGTGTGTCTTCTCAGAGAGGGGTTGACCCGCCAGGTGGAGCCTCTGGACCCTCCTGCAGGCTCTGCTCCCGGTGAGCGAGTGTTCGTGAAGGGCTATGAGAAGGGCCAGCCAGATGAAGAGCTCAAGCCCAAGAAGAAAGTCTTCGAGAAGTTGCAGGTCAGTAGCTGGCCATGCCAGCTTTCTTGCCTGGGCCCCCTGGACTGGGTCCCAGACCCCCCAGAGTCCACCTCTGCCCCTCCTCCGCCCTTCCTGCCTCTATGCCTCTCCCTTCCTCCGTCCAGACCTTTTGGGGAGGGGAGGGGGCAGGCACCTGCAGAGCATGGGAACCCTCACAGGGACTGAGCACCAACAGACTCCTTGAAGCACTGTGTGGGGGACTCAGACATTTCCTCTTCTGATCTTCAGTCCGGAGCACAGGGTTATCCCTGTTTTATCTGGCGGGTTACCTGCCAAGGCCACACAGGGTCCCCAGAAGCCATGGAGCCAGGATTCTCCCCCCCACCCCACCCTGGTCTTGGAGCACTCATTCTCTCTCTGCCCTCTGGGGCATGGAGTCTAACACAGCATGTCGCCACAACCCCTGAATGCATTCCTTCCTTCAACAAGTCCTGAGCCCCTGATATGTATGTCAGCCCCTGTTCTAGGAGCTCCGGGCTACATCATGAACCAAGCAGCCATGTTTTTCTCTCCTCGTGGAGTTAACACGACACGTGTGACCTTCCCTAGTAATCCCTCCTTTCCTGGCTCAGCCAGGGTATGTCTGGGGGGCATTAGAGTGCTTTCTACCTGTTGCTTCGCCCTGCGCGTGGCAGGCATGTTTTTACCCACTCCCCCCTCTCCGACTTTCCCAGGCGGCTTTTTTGGATCACTTACTTTTCCAGGCTATAAAATAGGTTCCCAATGTAGAACCATCCAAAGTATAGGGAACATGAAGGAGACAAAATATCCATAGTCCTGACACCTAGTTCCTGGGAAATAGCATTAGTGATTATTTCTTTGTGGACCGCTTCAGGGCGGGGAGGTAATATATTTACAGTTTGAGCCCCACCATGTTTATTTTTCTCTTTAACTGGATGCCAGAAAAACTTCCCTGTCTTCTTAAATACTGAGCAGTGATCTGATTGTGCAGTAGTGAATCGTAATTGTCATAATATGACAAAATTATTTAACCTTGTTAGACATGGAAGTTGTTCTCAGGTTTTCACTATTGGAACGCTGCTGTCTTGGTACATAGTTCTTTGCACTTACTCGTGACCGGTTTCCTGAACTAAATGCCTCAGGTGGGCAGGCTTGCTGGTAGTGGAGAGAGAGGCACAGGAGACCCTGGGGAAGGGCTGTCGACGCCTCCCCTCACCACCCCATTCATGGCTTCTGTTTACTCTGTGCAGGCCGACTTTAAAACCTCTGAGGACTGCATCGCACAGTGGAAGCAAACCAACTTCATGACCAAGCTGGGGTGTGTCTCCTGTAAATCGCTGAAAGGGGGGAACATCAGCTAGCTACCCCAGCGTCCTGCTCCCTTCTCCCATCTCCCAAGTCATCTGCTGTCTCAGTTTGCTCTGTCCTTTACCCATTTACTCATCTCCCAGGACACCAAAGCAGGAAGTTGGGGACATTATCAGGGGTGGAACTCAGTAAGCCGGGGCTCAGCCTCCCCAGAATCCAGAACCATCCTGTTCGACTGTCGAGTGTCGACTGTCGCTGAGCTCCAGGGTGGTAATGTGGGCAGGGCGACCATGGGGAGTCTCCGCTCTACCTTCTTCCCCTGGCAGCTGACTGGAGAAATCTGGTTTCAATAGAACTCATACAAAAGGGTTATGCCACAGTCCTTCTAATTGGAAAAATATTGGTTCCCGTGTTTTCCTAGAGTTCTCCCAGCAGCTGTGCCTCTGTCTGGGATCTGGTGCCTGAACTGGGCTAATTACAGCCTTTCCCAACAGGAAATTGTGGGATTCAAAAAGGAAAGGGAGGGGAAAACAGAGAACCTAGCGGTCTACCAAGCAGTGGGCAGCCTTCCCCAGTGCCTGGCAACCATGAGGCCCGGCCTGCGGGGCTCTGCTGCCATTTCTTTCCCTTGATCCTGCTGGGTTGAGACATTCCCTAAACCAGCTGTGTGTTAATATCAGAAGTAAGGCAGACGGCACAGCCTGAATCTTTCTTCAGAGTGAGGGGTACTTCTTCTTAAGGCATCAGGATCAGAATCACTGTCATTGTCATGAATTCAAATAAACAGTCCAAACAAGAGTGTCTGGACAGGGCTGTCTGCAAGCGGGGCCGTAGGAACACAAGTTTGGAGCAGCTGCTGGACCACTCACCCAGGCTAGGCCCTTGTATCCTGGACTTTTGACCCTGTAATAGGGGATGGGGCTGGCAGGGGCGGGGGGCTGTGTGTGAAGTGGGTGGATCCTAGAAACTTTGACTTTTTCTTTGGCGATAAAAGCAGAAGAGGCTGGGGTGTCTGGGTGGCTGTGTCAATTGAGCGCCAGACTTGATTTCTGCTCAGGTCAGGATCTCAGGGTTGTGAGATCAAGCCCTACATCAGGCTCTGCCCTGGGTGCAGAGCCTGCTTAAGAGTCAAGCAAAAAAAAAAAAAAAAGCAGAGGCCCCTGTGGGGTCCAGTGCTTAGAGGAGGCAGAAAGCATGTTTTCTCTCCTACTAATGGACCAGACCCCGACCCCAACCCCTGTCCATCCCCTCTTAAGAAGCAGCAAACCACAGCCAAGTTTTAATCATTTAATTAATACCTTTGAATGAAACACACACAGCTTTTTCATGTGTCTCACTCAGGCTTCAGGGGAGAGGGAATGGATTGTTGGTATAGACATATCAAAGACTCAAAAATTTAAAGAAATATATATATACTTCTCTCTAACATTTTATGGAAATTAAAAATCAGAGGCTTTTGGTCTCTCCATTTGCACTAGATCAAGCTCATTTACCCCAAAGGACAAAGAAGGGTTGCCTCTTCTAGATCCTCCCTTCTCCTTTGTACTCCGTCCCACCCAGTGGGGAAACAAGCTCAGAAGATTCTAGCTGAGGATAAGGAGCTCAAGTAACGTTGAGAGGGAAGGGGGCAGGAGCCGGTCAAGAAAACACAGAAGCTGGGCTCCCTCCCACCTCCAGCAGCTCCAGGGCTGCCACCAGGGCCTGCTCTCATGGAGGCTTTGGCCTGGTCTTGGTTCCCAGGGGGTTGGGTCAGGAACTCTGAGCGGAGCAGTGCATACTGACTATCCTCGTTCCCCAGCTCAGTGGGCAGATGCAACGGGTACCCAGCAGCTGCTCTCCCTCACCCAAGGCGTTGGGTGACAGCTACAGCGAGACAACAGCAATGAGGGAGAGCCAGAGGAACCTGGGCTCTGGTACCGCATCCCCTATGCTCCCAGCTCTTGTTCTGGAGGAGTTCAGTCTCTCCAGAGCAGCAGCTAAAAGTGAGGTTCCTTGCCAGGCTCAAGCCCAAGTCACTGTTGAGGAAAGAGGATCAGGACAGAAGGGGTGGCCTTGGGGGGCGGTGGGGGTGTGCCACACGACTATGGAGGGAGGCGCCAGGGCCAGTGGGGAAGCCAGTTTACCTAGAGAGGTGGCAGTCTGGAAATAGGTCATTAAAATTCCTAGAGATCAGTAGCAGAGGCTGACGGCTAGGGGGCAATCACCCAGCCTGCTCCCTAGGAGCACTGAACCCCCTCCCCTTCATTGACTAGGGAAGAGTCTGGAATAGAATGCACCTTTGGCTTCCCAGCCTTGTCATTCAGCGTCCGCTCCCCCCAGCGAAACCACCTGTGTTGAAAGGCAGCTAGAGAGAACACGTGCAGAGTAAACAAAGGTCCCAGAATGTCATCTGTAGGGCCAGGTCTGGGCTCAAACAAGTGCTCCCCCGGGGGCCACAACCCTCCACCCACCTCCTCGGGACTTCCTGCCCAGCTGGAAAGGACACAGCTTTGCCACATTGCCTCGGAAGTGTTGTGCCTGCCCGCCCCAACATGACTGCGTGGAACAAGGGGCGGATGCTTGGCATTACCATTGCCCAAGATGTCTCCCAATTCTGTTCTCCCACTCTCGGAAGACAGAGGGCCTGTGGACCTCCCTGCTGGCTCTTCTCCCCCACCCCCATTCGGGCCCTGGCGGTCTGCCACTTCTTATCCCCTGCGTGGAGCACCTGGCAGAACGGGAAGGCAAGGAGGGTGGTTGGTGGTAAGTTGAGGCACAGGAGGGCTAACCCCTGCTGCACCTTTTGTGCTTTGGAATTCCACAGCCCCGCTCCTGCCTCCAGCCTGGCGAAACCTGTGGGGATGTGATGACTCGCCCACCTCCAAGAACTAAGAAATGAGCACGCTGGATCGGAGGGAGGGCACAGATTGGTCCCAGCTATGGGGGGGGGCTACCAGGGACTGATGCTGCTACCATGTAAACAGGCCCTCGGAATGCGGCTTCGTGGGCCCTGGAAGATGGACATGCAGCTGCTTTTCAAAAGTGCTTTGATTCTGGACTACAGTATGTGCATGATTTGGACATGGGGGGGCGGGGAGGAAAGAAACTCAAGTGAGTTGCTCAGCTCCCAACTGTGTGCCCTCATGGCCAGCAGGGGGCGCAGCCACCCGCTCCCACCAGCTACCTCCTTCAAGATGAGGCTAAGGCCAAGACCAGCAGAAGCGGCCAGAAGGGAATCCATTCAGGGGGAAAAGGCATGAGCCAGACGACTTGGAGGATGGGATCAACACCAGGCTTGCATAAATATCAAAGGCTGTGAAGGTTAAGGCTGCAGGCATCCTCTCTACTAGGTTAAGTGTCTGCCATATCCTCTTGTCCTTGGAGCTGCTCAGGTCCCTGAGATTGTATTCCTGGGATGGGTCAGCAGTGCCAGTGAGGTGCCTGGTGGTCAGACCAGCTCTTTCTGTGGGTCTGCGGCGAGAAAAGGAAGGAACACTCAGCCAGAGGCCTCCCAGCTCGGTTCTGGATGGCCCACGGCACCTCCTCTCCCCCTCCATTGAACAGGGGTGACAGCCTACCATTCCCAGGCAGCCTGAGACCAGAAAAATCTGAAAGATCCAGTGACAAATCCCTAGTAGTGGGACTTGAGGCACCTCTTTGCCATCACCAGTGATGGGGACCCCCCCTCGCATATACACACACACACACACACACACACACACACAGTCCACTGTACCTGAGCCAGGCGGGGCCAGCTTCTGCTCCTGGGGCCCCACCAGCTGCACAACACTTCCATTCTCCGCCGGCTCCCCCTTAGTCCTGTCCTCCGCATGAAGGATCCCATTGGTGGGAGGGCCAGGAAGAGACTCAGCCCGAGCAAAGGTAGGGGAGGTGGATGGTGGGACCCCCCCAGAGGGCTTGCGGGCCACAGGTGGGGGAGCTTTAGGTGGCTTCTTTGGGGCTTGCGGTGACCGCTGCTCTGAGATGTTCCGAAGTTCAGCCACCAGGTTCCGCTGGAGGTCAGCCTGGGCCTCGGGGGACACTGGCCGCTCCAGCTGCAGCTTCTTGGTGCCCTTGGAGAAGATGAAGCTGGCCATAGAGGCAGGGGACTGGGGAGACCGTGGCTCCGCCTCAGGTGGTCCATTCGGCTGGGCACTCCCAGGGTCCCTGCTGGCTGCCAGACTGGAGGCCTTGAGTCGGACAGCAGCATGGAGCCCTGAGGAGGGGGCAGGCGCCGGGCTGGCCCGCCCCGACAGGGCCCTTCGTAGCGGCTTCTGGGGGGCAGAAGGCCCAGCTGCTGGGGTTGCCGTTCCCACAGGAGCACCCACAGAGCGCAGCCGCACCATCTGCAGGAGTGAGGGGGTGACCAGGGGCGCACCAGCATCCTCCCGGGGAGCTGCACTGCCTTTGCCGCAGCCCGCTGGTTCCTTCCGAGGGACTTTGGCCACAAGCCCTGGGACAGAACCAGGAGGAGGGGGTGCTGGCGGAGCTGGAGGTGGTGGCTCTGGGGAACCAAGGAGCTGGCTCTGGGAAGAGACAGTAACCGAGAAGGATGAAGCAGCCAGGGATCCGAAGGGCTCTGCGAGGCCTGAAGGGCCTGCTGGCTCAGGGCCAGCCACAGGGAAGAAGGCCTCCTCAGGCGGGGGGAAGTCCGCCATGGACAGGTCCTGCTCCTCAGGTGCAGGAGGTGGGGGTGGGGGCCAGCTGGGGTCTTGGAGGGGCTCCTCTGCAATCTCTGGGGCAGGCGGGGCCTCCACCACCTCTGGCTTCTTAGTGGGTGGGGGGGGAGGATGGTAGGATGGAGGCGGGGATGGTGGGGGTGACTTGTCTTTGGAGGCAACGGGAGACTCCTGTGGTGGCATCAGGGATGTCTGTGGTGCTGGCAGAGGCTCGGGACCCACGTCAGTGGCAGAGACGGGCCCAGGAACCACAGCAGGAGTAACCGGAGCAGGGGCCGCTAGGTTAGGACTCTTGGACTTGGAAGGGGGTGGGGAGAAGGGCGCAGGCACCTTGGGGTGAGGAGGTATGGCAAACCTATCCCCCAGGGTGGTCGACACCTGTGTACCAGAACGGTCTGAGGGGACCGGGTCAGAGGACGAGGAACATAGAGACGTCAGAGAGGAGGAGACAGAGGCCCCAGGAGACCGAAGGGAAGTGACACGCTCTGGTTTAGGGGGTTGGACCTTGCCCGGGGAAGCAGGGGGCCCTGCGAGACCCTTGGGAGGGAGGGTAGGGGTACCACTTTGGCTCGAGTACCCACTGGAGGGTGAGAGCGTCCGTTCTGGAGAGCACGGGGGACGCCGGGAGCCACCCGGAGACAAGCCGGGCACCCAGGCGCCTGCTGAGTTGGAGGGACAGGGGGCTGCCCCCATCACTTCTGACCCACCAGTGGTGGGCGGCCGGGGCAGCTGCGGCTGCTGCTGCTTCCGTTCGGGCTTGGGCGGCAACCCCAAGAGCCCATCGGGGGCTCCCGAGCCCCGCTGATGGAGCGAGTAAGTCCGGCGGGGAGGTGGGGGGGGGCCGCTTCAGCTTACGTAGGGACACACTCCGGCCGGACAACTGCCCACTGCTGCGGATGCTGGCAGTGTCTGAGGCCTCGGCTGTGCTGCCTCCGCTGGGAGAGCCCCGCCCACTGCCCCCCTGGGGAGGGGGCGCCACACCACTGCTAGCCACAGAGCCCTCCGGCAGGCCCTCAGAGCCACCCTTTGAGGACAGGGTGGAGCCATCAGACACGATGGTCTCGGAGGACTGAGAGTGACTCCAGGTGTCACTGGAGGAGGATGGGTGGCGGCTGCGGGGCCGCGGACTGGAGGCGGAGGAGAAGCGGCCCAGTGAGCGCACGGAGGCTGGGCTGGCGGACAGCAGACTGCAGCGGCTCAGCGTACGCAGGCTGCAGCGGCCCAGGGCCACCACATCCACAGTAGGTGGCAGGACAGCGTGCGGAATCAGTTTTGACAAGTAGGTGGCCTGGGGCGAGATAGACATGGCTGGGCTCAGGGGCTCCGGCGGCCCTGCCCCTCCAGTCAGTCCGGGCACCGCTAGGGACATGGGCCGGGTCACCGGTGGGGGCCGGGGCCCCGTGGACCGCCCAACAAGGGTGTCATCCCGGTAGATGCGGTCAATGTGGCGCTGCAGCATGGCCTCCGCCTCAGCGCCAGCCTCGGCCTGTGCCTCCAGCACCTGCAGAGACACCCGGGCCCCAGTCCCCGAGGCTGGGCCCGCAGGGCGGCCGTCCACTGTGGGGATGCGCACCGCATCCCGAGGACCAGGAGGCCGAGGGGTACCTGGTGCCTCACGCTCATGCCGCAGGCCTAGGAGGGACAGGGAGGACACGGGAGTTAGCAGAGGGTACTGCCGGGGCTCCCCCCATCCCCACCGCCGCCCTCCTGCTTGGGGGCTCACCGAGTTCCTTCTGCACATGCTGCGGCAGTCCCAGCACGGTGCTCCGCCTCTCGCGGCGCCGCCGCCCCGACTTCCCAGAGGATTTGGAAAATGAGTCATGGGGTCGGAAGGTAGAGCCTAGGGGCCAGTCCAAGGGAGAGAAACCGTTAGAGCAGGTCTCAGGGCACATTCTGCAGAGCGCCTGCTTTCGCAGAATAAGAAGCAAGAGCTCTGCAAAAACAGATTTCCATAATCAAGTAGGCGTGGGCAAAGCGAGGTTAAACAAAGCTACACACTTCTCTGCATGACTTCTGGAAGGCTTTAGAGGCCGAGGATAATTTCCATTTAGCGAACGATTATTACGTGTTAGTCAGCATGCTAAACACTTGGCATTCACTCCGACAACAGAAGTACTCTGATCCTCGTTTCATAGAACATCAAATGAAGATCGGAGTGGTAGAGAGTTGGCCCAAGGTCACCCAGCTGGGAAAAAGCAACACCGGCTTAAACCCAGGTTTCCTGACTTCTGAGTGTCTCACTTTGCAGTCTGTGTACATCATGAGTCTCCAAGAAACACAGGATACTGTGTTTCCTGAGTTCACTGACTCACAGAGCCTTGAGGGGTGCTAGAGTAGGAGGCAGAAGGGGAAAGCTACAGGGGCTGGGACCCCAGACAGTGCCCAACACCCCTCAGCCCATCCGAGAATCCTGACTGGCGGGCAGACACCTTTGCGCTGGATCATCTCCGAGCGGATGGAGAGTGCGTCCTCTGCCGTGGAGCTCTCAGCCGTGTAGGATGTGGTCTGGCTGCAGAAGGAGATGCTATCTTCGTCCGGCCCCATCCGGGAAGACTGTTGGGGGAAGAAGGAGATGAGGCCCTGGCCTCAGACCACCCCAGAAGCCTATGTAGGTCTCCTGCTGTTGCCTTTTCAGGGCTCCCCTTTGGAGCTCTGAACTCTGATTTTCCCTGGCTTCACCCAGCACTAAGCAGACACCAGCTGGACTAGCCCTTAGGGGTCACCTAGTCTACCCCTTCACAATACAAGGAAACTGAGATCCAGAAGCACTCAAAGCCAGACTTGCCAGAGATGAAGCAGGGAGGGAAGAGCAGAGTCAGGACTGAGCTAGGGGCCGGGCTCACCTGGATGCTCTGGGTGTCTCCATGGTCCCAGCCGCCCTTATTCAGTTTCTGTTTTTCTGGAAGACACCAGAGAGGTGTGTTGGGCTAGGCCCCTGACCTTGGGAGGGGAGCCAAGAGTGGTCGTGGACGGGGAAGGTTACCTTGCTGCTGCAGAGAACGGAGCCCCTCCTGGGCCTGTGTGTGCAGCTCTTCTAGGTGAGGCGGCCGCCCGCTGGGGAAGAAGACATTGTCCTGGTGCTCCTCCACTACAGAGCCCGGCCCCTGGCCAGGCCCGCCACTTAGACGTCTGTCACTCTCTGCCTTGGCAGAGCCTATTGGGATGGAGGAGGAAGAGAAGTGAGGCTTGAGAGCAACTGGGTCATGGGGATGTATGGGCCCCACCCACAGTCCCAAGACCACACACAGCCCCCAGAAGTACCCACAATGCCTACTTCCCCAGTTGTACCACAACTCACACTTCTAAGCTATACACGCAATATACACAGCCCCCATGTTCATATACAAACTCTTCCCAAGTGTGCTTGTGTCTGACTCGGGGCACACAAGCCCACCATACAAGCACAGAATTACCACAGGCTTCAGGATGTACACTAATAAACAGCACCCAAGTATAAACACATCAGAAACCAGTATCAAACACGGGGGCCCCCCACATATACACACAACAGCCACAGTCCCCATTCTGCACACATACAAACAGTACCCAAATACACAACTGTATCCACATGCCACTCAGGGCCCGACACAAAGCACCCCAATATACGCACAGCCCACAGCGAATACATTTCTGTTGTCTCCAGAGCCCAAGCTCCACTTTATGGAAAACCAACCACCCCTTTAAAACACATCGCTGGCCCAGGTCCAAGACTCCGTGGGACACTAGGAAGGGCTGTGGGCTAACAGCAGTCCTAACCTAACCAGAATTCCCAGGAAGTCCTGGGAGGAGGGACAAAACAAGACATGGCCTCTGTGTCCCCTACTCACCCATGTGGCTGTCCCTTAGTGGAAGGATGGGGAGGGGAGAAGGTGGCCCCAGGGGCCCTGGACCCCCAGACAAGGCAGCCCCAGGCTCTCTTGGGAGAACAGCCCCAGGCTCTCTTGGGAGTACAGCCCCAGGCATTACCCCCCCTCCTGGAGGCCCCGCCCCTGGTGCTCAGGAGCCGGGGATCCATTACAAAGGATCCTATTACAGGCCCCGCCCATGGGGAAGCTGGTCATCTAATCCTGGGAATGAGGGGCTGTGTCAGCACTCTGCAGCCCCAGCCCCCCCTTTAAATGGAACCCACATCATAAGCAAAAGCACGGGGAGGATCATGTGACCTTGGCAGCACCTTGTAGAGGGGCAGGAACAAAACAACCCCTTTAAAAGGCCACACCCCACGATCATGGTCTTCAGCTCCTACACCTGCCTGTTCGTACCTCCTCAGCCCATTCTTCAACAGCCAGCTCCTGCCCAGGGAACCTGTGGGGAGTCCTCCAAGGTCAGCACTCCTAGGTCTCCTGACAACCTAACCCACTGAGTCTCGCCTAGTTCCTGAATTTTACAAGTCGGGGAAACAGGGCTGAAAAGGAAAGGCCTTGCCTAAGGTCATCCAGCAAATTAGGGTCAGTGCCAGGACTAAGCTCCAGATTCCCAGAGGGGACTCCTGACTCACACTCGAAGTGAGGTCCCTCTGTCCTCACCGTAAAAGTCCAATAAACTCTGGTCCCCGTGTCTTAATCCAGGCCTGAAAGCCCAGTTCCTAGAAGCGGAAAGCAGGAAGATACCCCCCCCCAAAAAACTTCTCCACCGCCCAGCCCTCCGCCTCTATACAGCATTTTGAAGATCATGCCCCAAATTCCAGCAGCACTACTTTCCTCTCTACTCTGCTTCCCACATCCCATCCTCCCACACATCTGACTGACCTGGGGTCACAGGGGGGTGCTCTGTCTCTCAGAACTGAAACATTAGGATGCACCCACTACAGTGGGGGTACCCCTGGAGGAAGCAGTCTCGACCAAGGGCTGCAGGCTTCAAGGTCAGAGACACCTGGATCCATCTTCCCAAACCCAAGCAAGCAGGGACCAGACAAAGGCAGCGGAAAAGCCGCTGGACAAAGGCACATTGGAGGGCAGGGCAGTCTGGCCTCACTACTGCTCCCCATCCCCCACCCATTACCCTTCCCCGGCCTTGATCCCGCTTTTTACAGAAAGGTCTAGTAAATGGAGGTGTCGGGGTCCCTCCTCTCCCCCTCCCCAGCCACACCCACTCACCCTTCTTCTTAAAGAGCCCGAGGAGCACCGGGAGGCGGCGGCCCAGGAACACCACCATGACTGCGGGCGCCACTAGGGCGGTCCCCTATTCCGACCTCCCCAAAACACCAGGCACCGCCTTCACCATAACCCAGCACCAAGCGGTGCGAGTCGCCCGCCCAGCTGCAGAGCTGACTCCAGGCAGGGGAGGGGGAGGGGCTGCTCTCCTGCTCCTCCGCCCACCTGCGCCACGGACCCCGCCCACCCACCGACCCCGCCCCTCAAGCGGAGCGCAGAGGCAGGTACCATCCCAGATTCTGACGGGGAAACTGAGGCCCAGAGTCTGAAGACGCTTGGATCTGGTGGAGAGTATGACTAGCAGGGCTGAAGCTACTCGGTCCCTGGGGGCAGGCCGTCCCCAAGTTCTTTTCTAAACAGTCAGGAGCCAAAGCCATGGCAGGGGTCCCAGCTGCCAGATGGACAGTGGAAGAACCACTAGACTACACTTGGCATGATGCCCAACCCCAAGTCCTCTTGGCTGGTGAGTGTCATTCCCTGGGGAAGGAACTCAGAGGTGGAACAGCCTGGCAGAAGCCCAGAACTGCCTGTGATGGCAAGTCCTTTGGCAAAGCCCCCTGGAGGGGTGGGAGCCAGCCCAGGACACAGGGACACGGGGAGGCCAGGGAGACGTCCAGAGCAGAAACACCGTGGCTTGGTGGGAACAACTTGTGTGTATGTTCAAACCCATGCCTTCCCAAGGAATTTCTTCCCACTTTGGTCTTGTGGGAAGCAGCCCAGAGAAGCGCTGTGAACTCTCCAAGGTCACACAGCAGAGCCAGGCTTCATGGTATTCCTCTAGTACCTTCAGCCCAGGATCCTTCCCACTGGCCCCACTCTGTGACTTGGTGACTGTTGGATCACCAGGCAGAGAGAGAACAGAATTAGCCAAAACCAAACAAAATGAAACAAAAACAACCCTGTCATAGGTAAGGGCAGTAAAAATGAGTAGGAGGTAACTAGGAGGGTAGGAGGAGGTAACTGGAGGGAAGTCAGCTCCAAGTTCAAATTCAGCTCCATCACACACAAGTCATAACTTCATATGGAAACAAAACCAATGAACTCCTTATAAGACTGTTGCACCCATTCATTCAATCAGCAAGTATTTATTAAGCTAGTACGGAGGCTATATCGAATGGAGAACTTTATCTTGTTCACCTGAACACCTACATCAGGGCCTGTCATTCCGTGAGTTCAATAAACATTTGACAAATACATCAGTGAGGTAGACCCACAGCACAATTTTAGATTAGTTAAGACTGAGGAGCTATGATAGGGAAGGGGGTGCCTCTAGGGGGCATGAAGGAAAGTCTAAGGAAAGGCCATTGGAACCAAGTCCTGCAGAAGGCAAAGGACCCGGCCAGGGCAAGTGCTGGGCACAGAACCTTCTGGAGAGAGACAGCAGCAAGTGGAAAGGCCTCGAGGCAGCAGTGGGGTGGGGGGAGGTGTCTCAGAACAGAAAACGGGGGCCAGAGGGGCGGAAATATGGTGAGCAAGGGAGAGAATGGCAGGACCCAGGTCAAGTGGGGCCCTGGCGTGGAAGGTTACTCTGGGTAATGACAGCGCTGAGATCCCCTTGGGCAACTCCAGAAAGAGGAGCTGAGGCTGTGGCAGAGACAGTCTGTAAAGCGCTGTCCCCAAACTCACCTCAGGACACCGCACTCTCACAGCACCTTTCTCCCTGAGTGGCGAAGAATTCACAGTGGCTCCCCCACCGCAAACGAGACCCCTCTGCTGCCCCTTCCCCATTTGCTGCCCCACCCCTCAGAGACCACTCAAGCAGAGGCTGAGCCCTTGCTCTCTGGAGAGCAAACTTCTGTGCAGCTGGATAGTCTGTAAGGCCACAAATCATTGAAATCCAAACAACAATCCTAAGAAGTAGGCACTTTTATCCCCATTTGACAGATGAGGAAATGGAGGCCAGAAAGGGCAAGCTGAGAAGGGCAAGGTGGCATTTGCCCTGAGGATAACTTGAACCCAAAAACTATGTTGTCTTCTGGTCCAGCTACAAACCTGATCTCCCCTCTGAAGGGGGACCCTATCATCCCCACAAATTCGAGATTTCTTGGCCACATCCTCCCCTAGATCCTCTCTTAGGCCAGACCCATCTGCCCCTTATTAGTCCTGCTCAGACACAAAGAGCAGTAGCCCCACACTTGCAGGGTGATTAATGCCAGGGGCTGGGGGAAGGCAAACAGTCTCTGCCCTCAGAGATCTTACAACAGCCATTCAAGGCAGGTTCTCAAACATACTCTTCCATAACTGATCCTGGACTGGTGCGGCTCGGAGAGCTTGGTGACTTCCCCAGCTCTGGCTGGCTCCTAAACTGATGCCTTTAACCACACAGGGCACAGTCATCCTCAGTTTCCCCCTAACCAGGGGAACTCAGGGCTGAGCTCCACTCAGGATGTATGGGAACAGCAGCTCAAGGTCCCAGTTCCCCAGCTGGCAGTCAGGGCCACAGCTGCAAATTCCCAGAGGATCCAAGGTTCTCACACTTGATAACATCTGGTTGCTCCAGCAACAGCCCCCCCCAACCCCCACACACAGCTTGGCCAGACAGACCTTGAGGTCTCTCAGAGCCACGCAAGGCTCAGGTCCGCACACCTGCAACTTGCTTAGGGAGGGGCTCAGCAACCTGAACCTCAGGTGGCAGGCAGGCTCCTCACAAAGAAATGGGCTGAGAGAGTGGAAGGACCTCGCCCAAGGCCACACTTAGAGTCCTTGTTCCAGGACCTTCTGCCCTGGTACAGTCCAGAGGTACAGCCTAGGGCTGAAGCTCACCACCAGCCTCCGCCTCCCCTCCTCCTCCACCTGCCTGAGGAAGGAAGCTTCCGGGATCAGAGAAGACACCTTGCTCTTGGCCACGCCCCTCACATGAAGGGCACACCAGGAAGCACACCGGCCAAGTTCGGAAACTCGGATCTAGTCCACCAGCAGAGGTTCTGGGCGCAGTGACCTCCAAAATGTCCCACTCGCCCCGCCACCCACCCACAGGTGCGTGCTCTCAGGACCACATCCA